GGCGATTCCACACAGGAGACATATTACACTATGCTCAAAAAAGTGGCGAATGTACAGATGCACAAGTAGTTGGATGTCAGGCGCAATATGGTGGATGTGGTGTAGCATGCACAGACACGAATCCTGCAGCCCTTTGCATGAAGGGCGGAGATAAAGTCTTTTTGGTAAAGGCAGCAGATACAGCAAGGCCCTAATTATCCCGTGACGAGCGGGCCGCCTTTTTGTTTCTCACCAATACTCATGCGACGTTGATGGCGTTTCAAGGAGTGCAGGACCGAAAAACAAACGCAAGAGGCCAATGGGATGACCCTGGTGCCTCGTTTGCCAGGAACATTACGACTGACTCTCTCACGGGTACAGGGGCAGTTTGGTGCTTAGCAGCCAGCAAGTAAGGCCTAGCCTTGCCACAAGGAGATGGCGTAGTTTCAGAAGATGCTGCGACAGCTTCGCCCTTCCTATACGCCGCTTTGCAGCGCGGCTGTTGGTATCTTCTGCGACCACAAGGCCACGGCTGGACAAGAGCCGCGAAACCAAAACAAATAGCATACAGCAAGAGACGTGTGAGACTGCGGATAATTTGCATTGTCTTGAGGCAGATGTGCGGCGACCAAGGACGTAAACTCTAATGGCGGATATTCGAAGCCCCGCGCCCCCCTGGCGTTGAAGCGTGGCGTGGAGAGAGACCATGCAACAACCCCCTGGGTGAGATGGAATTGCGCGGCGGACGCGGTAGGTGCTTGATCGGCATAAACACATATGCCCCCCCTTGGTTGCTTTACTGTTCAAACAACGTTCTCCAACAACGGCTTGATTTTGATTCTTCCAACGGCCGATTAAGCCCCGGTTTCAATTGTATACATACATATATTCAGACAGTCTTTCCTTTCAGGCACAAACACACACACACACACACGTACACACACTTGCAACAACAAACCATCAGACTTTCTTTTACTTCCATCGCCATGTCTTCCTACCCTCAACTCTCGCCCAGCGGTCTTCCCAGCTCTCCACGAGCCAACCGTCAGATGGAACTCTTGTCTCCACTCGACACATCGTTTCCTTCGTCAGTGTCGCAGACATCGTCGCCATACTCGAGCACATCGGAGAAGCAAACACTAAAGAGTGTCGACATCTTCGCCGACGCCACGATTCCTCTAAGTCCAATCTCAACCACCAGTTCGATGAGCAAGGAGAACCCCTACGCGGGTCTTGAGCCCCGAAAGCGCAGCGGTCTCGCACGACTCTTTTCCTGCCTTGGCCGCGAAGAGCGCGCAAGGCGACGTATGAACCGGAGTCTGGAGTTTGAGAAGGTTGGCGACAAGTGCCATTGGACCGAGTACTAGACAGAGAAGGACAACCGACCCCAACGGTTCTTCATGGTCAGCGGCCGTATTTTTGAAACAACGACGACACGGCGAAATTGCAATTCACCGAGCTACACAAAACGACTGTGGCAGCCAGGATGCGCATCCTATCCAAGCGACCACCGCGCTAGAGGCCAAGCAAACGTCGGATGCGAGTTTCCATTTGCCCACACTCACCCAACACGTACCGTGCAGCTGAGCTGTACACTTGATACCGTCACTGCGGCGTTTTCCTTTGTTCATACCTGTATAAACCTTTAACCCAGACCGGAGTTTGCCTGTTCCGGGTTTCGTTAGTTTGAGCTTCTTTTTTTGTATATCTGCTTAACACGCATGACGTGTCTTGTCCAGCGTTGGTGTTGGAAGGAAAAACCTTTTGATTTGTACATATACCTTTTTTAGCATGGGAGGTAGGAAGTTTGTCTGCGCTAGGTTGTCGCAACCACTTGGTGGTGGTAGTGCGACAAGAGCGGCAAGAGATGGAGCATTGAGAGAAAATGGATAAGATTTATCCCGTCTACTATGATTCATTTGTTCCCAATGCTGTTACTGACCATGCATGCGAGATATCGTACTACGTGCATAGTCTTCTGGTCGAAGACATAAATGAGTATGTAATCACGTGACAATTCTGTGAGCGTTTTCTTGTGGAGACATCTCATGGTTCGGGGGGTTCCAGATCACGTGCAGGCCTGACGCGAACAGAAGGTGAGCGTGGCCGTGCACAGCCTTATGTCGAGGGGACGCTCTCTTTCCCGTATACACGTAGTAGATACGTCGTACGAACATAGAGTATATACATACTATGTAAGCTCGGTCAAAAGTCCATGATCCTCGGCTCCTCCGGCACTGCCGGTGTGCTTTGTCCGTGCGAATGTCTCGTCGTGGGGGAAGTCCAAGGTCGAATGTGTACATACACCGGACGGATGGCTGGCTGCCCACCACGCTGACCAAATAATGGCATATAGGCTGACGGTCTTGGACACGTGCAGTCCAGCCACAAGCACTTGTCGGCTACAGGAAAAATCACAGGACAGTCGGTCCAACGGGCGTCAGATGTCAAGTGTGGCTCCCTACGTCACGCTGTGGTTGCCGGGCAGGCTTAGCCTGTTTGGACTCAACCTCGGCCCAACCCCCAGGCGCTCTCTTCACAGCAGCGACCCTAGTAAAGTCAGCCAGCGCGTGTTCTTTTCGCCTCGGATCTGCTGGAGCTAGGACTCGGTCTCACCCTGCCGTCATTTTATCTTTCGTCTACCCCTACTTCTCTCTACTCTTTTTTTGTGATGTTCAGCAGAGCTGCCCGCGCGCGAGTACCCTCCTCGATACTTCGCAAACCAATATTCAACCAGCAAGCATTTGCCAAGCCCAGGGTATGTTGATGAGCAGAAATTCACCTTTGGTGGGGGAGACGAGAGAAGAAGAAGAAGAGGAAGAAGAGAGAGAGAGAGTGTGTGTGTGTGCTGATGTCGGCATATGTAGATTATCGCAATGGCTCCAGCAAGGAAACAGTCGAGTCTGCCAGCTGGTAAGTAACCCTTGTATGTTTGTGTGTGCGAGTATTACTTTCACATGTTTCCCCCCTTCATAAATTATCCCAGCCTGACGAATTCATCTGCGCAGGCTACAAGGAAGACCACACCAAGGGCGCCATGTTGCGCTTCGAGGACTCTCTCCCCCGCCTTCCCGTCCCCACGCTAGAAGAGACCGCCAAGCGGTACCTCAAGTCTGTTCACCCGCTTCTTTCTGCGAGCGAATACAATGCGACCACAAAGGCTGTCAATGAATTCGTAGCCCCCGGTGGGCCAGGAGAGAAGCTACAAGAGCGCCTGATCGCACGGCGCGAGGACCCAAAGCACAAGAACTGGATTTACGAGTGGTGGAATGAGGCCGCTTACATGGCCTACCGTGACCCGGTTGTCCCATATGTCAGCTACTTTTACTCACACCGCGACGATAAGTCGAGGAGAAACCCGACCAAGCGCGCTGCTGCCATGACTACCGCCGTGCTGGAATTCAAGAAGATGGTCGACGAGGGCACTCTGGAGCCCGAGTACATGAAGAAGCTTCCCATCGCCATGAGCTCCTACGAGCACATGTTCAACTGCTGCCGTGTGCCAAAGAAGCCCGCCGACACGACTGTCAAATTCCCATACCAGGAACACAAGCACATCATTGTCATTAGGAAAAACCAGTTCTGGAAGCTTGCACACGAGGTCAACGGCAAGCAGCTAAACACTGCTGAGTTCCAAAAACAGTTCGAGTACATCTACTCAAAGGCCGAGAAATCGCCCGCAGTTGGTGCCCTCACATCGCAGAACCGCGATGTATGGTCAGACGTCTACCCTAAGCTCAAGGCCCATTCGCCTGTCAATGCTGCTACTCTGCAAGACATTGAATCTGCTTCATTCGTTGTCTGCCTTGATGATGCTTCTCCGGTCACTCTCGAAGAGCGCGCACACCAGTACTGGCACGGCGACGGCGCCAACCGCTGGTTCGACAAGCCTCTCCAATTCATCATCAACGAGAACGGTACCTCTGGCTTCATGGGCGAGCACTCGATGATGGACGGAACCCCCACCCACCGCCTCAACGACTACGCAAACCAGCAAATCTTCTCAAACGCCCTTCCCTTTGATGACCCCAACATCCGCTCCGACCTCCCCAGCCCCAAGCCTCTGCGCTTCGAGCTCAGCAGGGAGCTCCAGCAAGACATCGAAGATGCACAGTCCCACTTCTCGCGCCAGATTGGCGCACACGAGTTGAGGGTGCAGGCCTACCAAGGCTACGGCAAGGGCCTCATCAAGAAGTTCAAGTGCAGCCCAGACGCCTACGTCCAGATGATCATCCAACTTGCATACCACAAGTTCTACGGCAAGAACCGTCCCACATACGAGTCGGCGGCAACCCGCCGCTTCCAGCAAGGTCGCACCGAGACGTGCCGCTCCGTCTCCGACGAGAGCGTCGCCTTCTGCAACGCCATGGCCGACGCCAACGCCACGCCCGAAGAGTGTCAGCAGAAGCTGCGCGCAGCCATCGATGCCCACGTCAAGTACATTTCGGATGCCAGCGACGGACGGGGTGTCGACCGCCACCTGTTTGGCCTCAAGAAGTGCCTCAAGGAGGGCGAGGAGCTACCCGCTCTGTACAAGGACCCTGCGTTCACTTACAGCTCCACGTGGTACATTTCCAGCTCGCAGCTGTCGAGCGAGTACTTCAACGGCTACGGATGGAGCCAGGTTATCGACGATGGATGGGGTCTTGCGTACATGATTAACGAGAACTCGATTCAGTTCAACGTTTGCTCAAAGGGGCTTGGTTCGGTAAGTTTTCTTCTTTCTCTTCTTCCCTCTTTTCCTCTTATGGTTCCTTCCCCAACCCGAAAATACATGTTTCTTGAGTTTTAGTAAGAAGATTGACTAATGTATGTCACTTTTTTTTTAGGACAAGATGAGCTTTTATCTCAACGAGGCAGCGGGCGACATGAGGGATATCATGATGCCCACGCTTGAGAAGGCAAAGGCAAAGTTGTAGACAGACGGCACATTAGAGATGCTTCTTGGGATCATTACATGTAGACCACTTGTATAGATGGCAATTGCCTTATCTTTCTATCAAACAGAAAAAAACTGATCTTTGTCCTTGTTCGCTTCTTCCTTTTTTTCTGTTCCCAAATTTCAACATGTGTATGTTGGTAAGATCGATGTAATTTTTTTAATCATGTTGTTGCATCTTTTCACACAGGCCCATTGGATCACTACGGTCACCATAATGCACCAGGCAGTCAAAACAATCAAGAGGAGATTTTTTTAGCATGTTGGGATACAGATTAAAATCTACAAAATCCCAATCCGCTCAAATAGCTCGTCCAAAAGCTCATGTCATTACTAGTATACATTCATTGTCCGCGTCTCAAATCCCCAATCTATGGGTTCTGCTTGACCCAGTCAACACCCTTCTTGATGTTCTTGGCGAGGTCAGTGACGCAAGCATCGAGGAGCTTCTGTTCGTAGTCGGTGATCTTGCCAACAGGGTGGATCTTCTCAACACCGTTGGGGCCGAGCTCGACGTTGGAGGCGAAGTAGTCGCAGCCCTGCTCCTTGAACAGAGGCGAGTCAACAAATGTGGGCTCGATGACATTCTTCTGACCCTGAGCAGCCTTGAGCAGCGACTCGGCAAAACGGGCACCAGCCATGGCCATGGAGAGAGTGGCAGAGCCAGCACCGTCCTTGGCCTGGACGACCTCGTCACCACCGAACTGAACGCGCCTGACGTAGTCGTCGAGCTTCTGGCCCTCGAGGTTGTAGCCGGACTGCGACAGGAGGGGAACAATGGTAGCACCAGAGTGGCCTCCAACGACGGTGATGTTCTCGGTAGCGGGGTCGGTGTTCTTCAGCTGGGAGATGAAACGCGAGGCACGGACAACGTCGAGGGTGGTGACACCAAAGAGGCGCTTAGGGTTGTAGACGCCCTTGGCCTTGAAGACTTCGGCAGTGATGGGGACAGTGGAGTTGACCTGTAAAAAAATGAGCATGGTGTTTGGATACCAAATTATCCGACTCTACGTACGGGGTTGGAGATGATGAGGATGTTGGCATCGGGAGCGTGGTCAGCGGCAGCCTTAGCGAGGTCACGGACAATGGAGGCGTTGGTGTTGAACAAGTCTGTGTCGCTGTTAGCTGTGCCACGGGCGTCTGTTGCTTTCAATGCTTACCATCACGGGTCATGCCGGGCTTGCGGGGAACACCAGCGGGGATGAGAACAATCTCAGCGCCCTTGAGGGCGTCGGCGAGACCGGAGGGGGTGGCATCGTGGCCAGTGACCTTTTTAACACATCAGCTCATTGTTCGTACCAGGGGCCAGAATGTATCTGTCGTACCTCGCTCTTGGTGTTGATGTGGCCAATGTCGGCAGCGACACCTGTGCAGCATTATTTAGCAAGCGCCCAATGCTCAATGGATTGGCAAAGGCAGTTGAAGCATACCGGGAGCAAGGCGGATATCGTAGAGGGCGAGCTTGCTAACCCTGGGGTTGAGCTTCAGCAGCAGCGACAATGGCTGGCCAATGCCACCAGCGGCACCGAGAACGGTAACCTTTGAGTTCTGCAACAGTCTCAGTTAGCATTGCAGTGAAAAGAAGTGCCAATTGCGCGCGGCGAGGGCATCGTGAGCGCCCCACTATGAAAAGCAGTCGCAGCCAAGTCCGGGAATAATCGTACCTGGCGGGCCGAGGCGGAGAAGCAGCGGCGCTGGGCCTGGAAGAATGCTTGCCTAGCAGCGAACATGATGAATGTAATGGGCGATGGTAGAGATTGGAGACTGGGTTGGACAGAGCGAGGGAAAGAAAGAGGATTGGCGGAGGTGTAGGAAGCTGCGGGAGGTTTTGCGAAACTTGGACGTCAGTGCTTCTTCGGTTGGTCGTCGGAGCTACGGCTGACATGCGCCTGCGCCTGCGCCTTCACCTGCACCCCTCCTCTCCCGCCTACCTCGGACCATTGCCTTTTACCGGCATCCTGCACTCGCCTGCGATCAGACGGTACGCATTTATCAGATGGATTTTAGTATGTATGTACTATTATGCTGACCTAATTCCCACAACAGTTGGGTAGCGCAGCTGGACCTGCCATAACGCTTGTCGCCCCATTGCTTGATTGCGTCATGCGCACAGACGATTTTTGTCACATCTGCTGAGAAAAAAAGGTACACAGTATACGCCAATCAAGTACAGCGTATGCAGTGATTCATCTGTCTCCTACATACTCTAAGAGAGCAGGATTCACTCCAACATGTGTCATTCCAACACAAGCTCCAGTGGAGCATATCGCGACAATTCAGACGTGTCTCCTCAGAGAGGATCTGTATGTCTCACCCAATGGACAGGACCATTCAAGCTACTTGACCTCCCTCGGGAACTTCGGGACAAAATATACTACCAATATCTATATTGTCCGGGCTATATTTACTACACAGCTCATGCCGACAAGACCTTTTGGGAAAGCCGAACCAAAAGCGATGATTTCCCAAATTTGTTTACAGTGTCCAAACAAGTTCACCATGAGGCATTCAAGGTGTTCTGCGAAGCCAATACCGTTGCGCTAGCCGTACACTATAATGCTCGGGAAGGCTACAGCAAGCCCCTTACTGGGCTCCTTCGTCTGTTCCCCGATCGAGCCGCGGCGAGTCTGACTAGAGTAAGCAACACATATCGCGACGTTGTTCCGCGGCCATTGGGACAATGGGGTTATGCACCCAGTCACGACAGTATCGCCCAGGGCGGTGACGGAACCGGCAGGTATCAAAAGCACAACTCAGCTGGGGAGACGTTTGTAGAGATCTTGAGAGACGCGCATATCCTGAGGCAGTTCTTCCCGAAGCTGACTGTTTTTGAGGCAGACTGGTATCCGGAGCCGCCGTTCTATGAGTATCCGGAGCAGTTGGGCCAAGTGCGTAAGATTGCACGTTTGTGGAAGGAAGGCGCAGAAGAGGGAAAAATAACAGAGATATGGTTCGACACGATGCAAGGGTGGCTGCAAGGGAAAAATGTGATACCATTGAGTTGTGTCAGGTTTTCTCTCAATGGTTTTGCTGCAGATGGCTTTGAGGATGACTTGGACGTGTTGTTCAATGAAGCATATGTAACACTAGTGAAGGAGCAGACGACTGGAGATGATATCGAGGACAGCGGGAGAGCGTGGCTGGAGGCGATGGACAAGGAGAAGACGACTAGGAAGAAGAAGAAGAAGGGCAGGAAGACACGAGAAGAGAGCGCATAGGTTGATATGTGGGGCTGGCCGACGACGAGCTAGTATTCTAGTTGTTCCCATTATACTAGAGGTAGCTGGGTAGTTGGGTATTTGGCCAATTGTAGTTCCTGTCACATACACAGCTCCATGGCTCTGCACCCCGCGGTGATAACCCAAGCTCTTATCCTCAACATGACGCCGCAACCAATGCAGGGACTTGTCGATCCGGCCCTGGCCGTGATAACCCTGGCCCTGACCCTTATTCCGACCTCGACCCTTCTGATAGAACCATAATTCACATTTCACATGCCTGACACGGCCAGATGGCTTGTCGGCCAAGGCGCCTCAACGGGGTCGGTACATAGTGCTATGGCGGGGTTCACGTGACCTGGACACCAGGGATGGGGATGCAACGTCGAAGCGGTGCGTGAGCGAATGGCATGGGCCGTCATGGAAAAACATGCTCATATGCATCACTCCTCGATCCGACTTCACCTTGACAAGATGACAGGTGGCGCGCAGGTACGCTACTGTAGGCTGGGGGGCTTCCGGTGAGTATAGCAGTGGGGCGATTAATAGCTAGGAGTGTACCATGTATGTACACATGTATGTACATGTGTGTGTATGGATAGATGAAGTTTGTAGCGGTAACGACTACATGTGCCTTGTGCCGAAAAGATGCGAGTGCAGGGGTGGTAGTCTACTTGGCATGGTGTCTTGTGCAGGTGAGGCCAAAAGGACCAAGGACCAGAGGATGGAGTGGTATCAACTCGTATTTGACTCCAGTAGCACTCGTCACTCGAAACCTAGGCTTGCTCGAGAGTCCGAACAATGTCCTCGGTCGCCCGAGCAGAGTTCGAGTAAACGCCGTGGCTCATCGCAGCGGCTGGTTTCCCGTCGGACAGGGCCAAAAGGGGAGGTCGGGAAAGATGGGTGGACTACGGGGGGATGCCGCCCAGTCACGCCTGGAACGACATCACAGTGCAGCTGTAGGCCCTGCCCTGTTCCCCCTTCTCCGCACCGCTGCACCATTCACCCTGACGGATCCGCCCGGCACCCGTAGTCCTCCAGCTCACTGCAAAAAGGCCCACTTGCCAACCGTGCAACTTTTCCACCGCCAGCATAAAGCCGTGCTCGTGCTCCCCGACTCTCCTAGAAAGAAGGCCGCGAGTCAAATTTCCACCCTTGGCCCCTGCACGTCTAGAGGGCAGAGTACGCAATTTTCTCCTTGGATTCCGAAATCCTGACACACAATTCAATCCTTTTTTTTTCTTTACCGCTTGGTTTAATTCAACAGACCTCAGTACTTGCGCTAAGTATATATGCTCTTGGACTACCTGGCCCCAAGTCTTCCCAAGCGACAAATTTTGCATAGCGACATATTCCTGTTCCTGTCCTTGACTACACTACCCTTATATACACCCACCCATACATACCATAGCGACACTTCCTGAGCGACATTCTTGCCCACCAGCATCTCACCCATTATCCTTTGCGACCCCAGCGCAACGACATCGACTCATTCCTTGCGACAAATAGAGTCTTGGACCCCAATACCTTGATACCCAGCAACACCCATCCGCCGCCATGTCGTGCTCACAGCCCTTTCGATTCCTGGATCTGCCCGGCGAAATCCGTAACAGCATCTACGACTTGCTGCTCTGCTCGTGGGATGATGAAGTCGAGTATGACCCAAGCATGATTAGCAGCAGCCTGAGCAGGCGCGTCCCAAGCAGCCCCTCCACTGGCCTCCTTCGCGCCAACCGCCAAATCCATGCCGAGGCCTCTGACTACATGATCAGACGCAACCAGTTTGTGCGCGTCACCTGCCGCGGTCTGGATGTGCGGAACCTCTTCCTTAGCGAAGGCATTCCCGTCATCACGACCAAGGCACGCAGCATCAGCCTGTTTAACGGCCACGTCATGCACGTGACGCTGTCCAAGCCTGCCTTTGTGCCCTCGGCCTTCCAATTTTCCGAATATGAGATCATGTTGCTCCGGTCCGATTTGCCCCAGTTTTGCCAGCAGCTCGACATTGAGAGCGTCATGTCTGATGCCAACCCAACGACAAGCGAGCATGCGTCCATCCAGGCGTGCATCCGACTCGACTATGCCCAAACCCGTTTCTTTGCCCCCAATGCACAGGAGCGCCTTTTGCAGCCTCTTGCATCGTCTCTGCGTGGCGTGCCAAACCTCAAGATTGTCGGTCCTGTCCATGATGCCGTGGCCGAAGCAGTCAAGGGCGAGGTGGCAAGGCCCCGCTGGACCGAGCCCATGGCGACGATTGAAGAGATTGATACTGGTGTGGACGTGGGCAAGCGCCAGTGGCAACAAAACAACTTTTACTCTGCCTCGCAGTCATGGGCATATGCGATGCGCACGCTGGAGCGCATGCGCCACAGCTCGTCATGGCAAGGTCTTCAAAAGGCAGGCGGAGAAGGGTTTGTAAATAAGATTGCTGATCTTTACTTCACCCTGAACCTATTGCACGCACAGTTTCTGCAAGTGGACATGGCCAACAACGAGTCCCAAGGCAGTGTGGTGCAGCGCAACGGACGCATTGCGATTCAGCATCTGCGCAAGTGCGAGACGACGAGTGCGCGGTTTGCACAGCACGCAGGCGCTACATGGAGACCGAGTAATGCACAGGCGGCCAAGATGCTGTTTCGCCAGGCAAGGTGCCTGAGGCTGATGAGTGACACGGTTAGCGGTGTCAAGGCTGTTGCTCTGATTGAACAAGCTGCAGCGCTGGCTCCTACAGACATGGCTATTCGCGACGAAAAGGAGGCCGTGTTGAAGTGGGAGGCCGAGGTGGAACAAGGCCGCCGGCTGCTAGCTGAACAAGCGGAAGCCCAAGCCCAAGCCGAGCAGAACCACACGTCATCCATCTGGCATACCATCATGGGCGCTGTGGTGGAGGTGTCCTCTTGAAGAGGACCATTATGTTAACAAGAAAGGACAGAAGTCGAGTTGTTTTGTAAGCGTTTGTAGCGTTGATACCCATATGTTTAAATAGATTGTTCAGATGAATAAGACACGCTAAAGTAAAATGTACAGGCTTTCTAATGCCGATTTATCATTTGCATATTCTATTCTATCCTATCCTTCCCCTGTAGTGGTCGTGTACATGCTGTACACAAGGAGGTATAACGTACTAGCTGCTATAGACCACGTGACTTGATATGCGAAGTCGAGTAAGTAGCCTGCTTTTGGTGTGTAGTGTAGTGTAACCAAGCCAGCTTGACCAGGAACATGCACCGCCATGGATGTACGCGCATGCTCTCGTCTGGTCGGGAGCGAGGGCTGCTCAACTTCTTCGTCTTTGCATCGTCGCATCTTCCCCTCTTTTGTCATTCCTTGGATATATGCCGCCATGTCCCCATGCCCCCCATTTTCCCATGCGCGTACTTAGCGATAACCTCCGAACAAGCCGGCTTGTGGCCTTGGCTGCTGCGAGGGCCCTGCCGTGGTCCTGTCGCCGGCCTGCTCGACGACTCGACGACTTGGACTTCGCGCTCCTTGGCAGCTTGCGACGCTCGTTGCTCAAAACATACAAGCACTCCCGCCCACACCAGTCGGCCCTCAATCTTTTTTGCTCCACCCTCCATGGCCGCCTGCAGTCCTGCCAGCGCCCTCGCTCGATAACATCCACTCCCCTCCCCCAACACGCCGGGCTCACCCCCCATCGACGGTCGCTTCAGACGCAGATAGATATCCACCGCGAGCCCTCGCAAATTTAGCGAGCCAGCACTCCCGCCCCCCCGGAGCCAGAACACGCACTCGTCCAGACCGCCCTTGTTCCCTCGACCCAGCGGGCCAGCTATCAGCCTCTGGCTCTGGCTCTGCTCTGCTCTGCACCCGCCCGCCCCGGGCGCTTCTGTCCCCAGCCTGCCAAGCTCCCTCTTCAAAGTAGTAGATGAGACGGCGCTCGTCCGCCGACCCCAGCGCCGACCACGACGACGCCCACCCTCGACCTGCCCCCTCTCCGGATCATGACGATAGCCTCAACTGCCACTCCGCGGCATTGCTACTAAACGCCCCGGACTCGGCCCACCCTCTGCCTGCCCACCTGCAGCCCAGCATGGCTCACCAAAAGCCTCCCCTCGCCATGCCTGCCCTGGCCAAGGACATGATGCCGCACAGTGCTGCCGACGGGCACACCACCACATGCCGCCAGCGACTGCGCAATCCTTGGGCCTTTTCGCCATACACCCTCGTCACCACGCTTGCTGCCTTTGCTGTCATGTTCCTCATGGCCCAGTCCTTTTTGCTGCGCCAACAAGACGTCAAGGGCTGCGGCATGTCGTACATGCGCCCGTCCTACACCAGGTTCAGCCAATTCGACACCGAACATACGCGCTTTGCAACAAAGTACTCCCTGTACCTGTACCGCGAAGCCAGCTTGGACCAGGATTCCAGGGCATGTCGTTTCCTTTTCCAGTGCGAAATTCCACTGACAAGCCTCAGGTTCAAGGCGTGCCCGTCCTCTTCATTCCGGGCAATGCTGGCAGCTACAAGCAAGTCCGTTCCCTCGCCGCAGAGGCAGCCTACCACTACCACAATACTGTCCAACACGACCTAGATGCTGGCAAGGCGGGCAAGCGCCCGCTGGATTTCTTCTCCGTCGACTTCAACGAGGACATTACTGCCTTCCATGGACAAACCTTGCTCGATCAGGCTGAATACCTAAACGATGCCGTCACTTATATCCTATCTCTGTACCACACCCCGGATAAATTTCTGCGCGACCCCAACCTGCCGGACCCTACATCGGTCATCATTGTCGGACACTCGATGGGTGGTGTCGTAGCCCGCACTATGCTCACCATGCCCAATTATCAGGCGAACTCGATCAATACCATCATTACCCTTGCCGCACCCCATGCCCGGCCCCCGGTCTCGTTTGATGGAGATATCGTTCGCACCTACAAGGGTGTCAATGATTATTGGCGACGCGCGTACGCCCAGAAGTGGGCTATTGACAACCCCCTCTGGCACGTCACGCTCATTTCCATTGCCGGAGGAAGCCTTGACACGATGATTTCGTCCGACTACACCAGCATTGCCTCATTGGTTCCTGAGACGCACGGATTTACAGTCTTCTCGACTTCCATGCCCAATGTCTGGACCGGAATCGATCATTTGGCCATTACTTGGTGTGATCAGCACAGAAAAGTCGTCGTGCGCGCCTTGTACGACGTCATCGATGTTTCACGCGCAACCCAAACCGTACCACGTGCTGAGCGTATGCGCGGTTTCAAAAAATGGTTTTTGACAGGGCTAGAGGATGCAGCCGAAAAGACCTTGCCACAAAAGGAAGCCAAGACGCTTCTGACACTCGAAGCAAACAGCGCCATCATCTCAGAGGGCGAGCACCTGGTCCTGCGCAGCCTCGGAAAATCCCAGCGTAACCCGAATGCCCACCTAATGCCAGTCCCTCCTCAGGCCCAAGGGAAAAAGTTTACCCTACTCACAAGCGAGCAGTTGGATGCCTCAGGTAGTCACGGTGTGCTCGAGGTGCTGTTTTGCAGTGTCTTCACTTCTAAACCTGGACATTCTACAACCTTCTTTTCCATGAATATGGATTTTTCGGGCGATAGCTCGGGTGCTACTCGCCTTGCTTGCAAGAATGCCGCATCGGATGTTATTGCTCTTCCTGCATCAACTCGTCACTCAGTGCATCCTTTTCAAACAAATCAACGTCCATTTTCCTACCTTCAATATGACATGGAGCATTTGAGCGAACACCAGTTTGTGGCCGTCGTCGACAAAGCTCAGGAGCCTCATGCTGGATGGGTAGTGGCTGAATTTAGTTCTGCTTTTGATTCCCAAATCGACATTGACACAGGCCTGCAGCGCCTGCTAACGACTGGCCTTTCACTTCGACTACCATCCCACCGTTCTTTAGTGACAACCATCAAAGTTCCGGCCTTGAACTCTGCTCTTTTGGCGTACAATATCCACATTGGAAAACAAGCGTGCGATGCTGGAGAGCTCTTTGCTCCGTTACTTCGCCAGTACGTTACTGACGTGCATGAAAGTCGGTTCTCGGTCAATGTCAGGGACGCTGGCATCAGCCTGCATGGGATAGCGCCGTACATGCCACCTACACTGCATGCAAAGCAACCCCAGAACGGTCTGTCATTGCAGATCTGGTCCGACCCTACATGCGACAGCAGTATTGAAATCAATCTTAGCGTTGATATTCTGGGCAGCCTGGGTAAGCTGTGGATGCGTTACCGTATCGTCTTCGCTGCTTTCCCAATCCTAATCGTAGCCCTGGTTCTACGACAACAATTCCGGACTTATGATAACATTGGAGTCTTCATGAGCTTCACTCAAGGACTTAATGAGTGCTTGAAGAGTTCGCTTCCACTCGCCCTTTCCGCGCTCACATTCCTGTCGATCGCTCTGGCCACGGCCCAACATCAATCGAAGAAATGGACGCTCGGTAGCAACCCTAATACAATGGCTCTTTTCGATGACGCCAATAATGAGCTCTTGCTCGGTTCGGACGATACTTTTTTCTGGTTTCTGGTTCCGCTGTTTGGCCTAATGTGTATTGGCATCTGCGTCGCCGTCAACTACATTGCAATGATACTCGAGTTGATCTTTGCGTCGCTTTACTCTGTCTTCCTGCCAGCCAGATTACGGAAAGACGAGGGTAGGAGATCACCATCGGCTTTTGCCGTAACATCGAACCGACGGCGCGTCATCACTACATGCATCTTGTTGTCGCTCGTCTCGACAGTGATCCCCTATCACTTTGCCTACGTCGTACTCTGCCTCGTACAGCTCGCAACTACTGTTCGCGCCTTCCGATTAGCAAGGGACTCTGGTATCGACTCCAACTACAACTTTTACAACTATACACATTCAATATTCATCCTCATGCTCTGGATCCTGCCAATCAACCTTCCCGTCTTGGTAGTTTGGATACGAAATCTCGCTGTTCATTGGCTGACGCCCTTTTCGTCGCATCACAACATCCTCTCCATCATGCCGTTCATATTGCTGGTGGAGACACTGAGCACAGGACGAATGGTTCCCCGGGCCGAGTTCCGAGTCTCCTTCTTCACCAACATACTGCTCTTTTCGATTGGCGCCTATGCAGCAGTCTACGGTGTGACGTATGCGTACGTCTTGCACCATCTCGCCAATATACTCTGCGCATGGCTCGTGGCCATACATTTTGACCCATCGACCTGGCCGCCCAAGCGAGCAGCAAGCAGCGCCGCCGCCCTTGCAGATAGGAATCCAGACGGCAAGACGAAGAAACGACCATGAATAGCAGTAGCGGATAGAAACACAAAAGTTCATTTTTTTTCTCGATCATTTTTTTCTCTTCTCTTTCTCTTACCGAACAAGGAAACTCACATCCAACTGCGCTAGCCGCATGTATCCGAGTTGTTATCCTTTTCTTTTTTATTTACTTTCTCAATATTAAATACCCCCATACATCATCATCAATTTTCTTTCTCTTTCTTTCTCTGGTCGACACTAAAAGCTTTTTCATCTTTCCTTCAATTGCATAGGTTCTTGGGGTTTCATGGGTGTTTATAAGAGAATAGGGCTTTTTCTTCCTTTCTTTTTTTTGGGTTGGAAATCATTGGGAGGGAAGGAAGGAGCATACTTGTGCATTTTATATATCTTGCCTGGTTGGATTCAGCCTTGGCTTCCCCACCATGTGTTTTTTTTGGGGGTTGGGGTTGGGGTTGTTGGGGTCTATGGCTGGTTACTTTTCTTATTCTTTCTTGTCCTTGTTGTTCTCGCATCTGGGCGGCGTGATGGAATGCATAATAGACAGATGCCAAGGGTTTTTTTGTTTGGCTGTTTGTTTTTTTCTTGGGAGATGGGTGGAGGGAAGGCGGATAATGTGATGTTGGTTGGCTGTAGTTGGTGGTGGAGAATAGACACAGATGGCCTGGCTCGAAATGATGACGACATGTGTGTATATATTGTGTAATGGGCGGTTGAAGAAGAGGGGAAGAAGAAGAGGGGAAGAAGAAGAAGAAGAAGAAGAAGAAGAAGAAGAAGAAGAATATAGAGGATATTTTCCCATGCTCACTCACTTGTTGTTTTTTCATGTTGCTGATGTGGTACTATTGCCGTGCCAATCCATGCTAATGAATTGGACTTGGTACAATTAGATTATGCAAGAAAGTGGATACAAAAAGTCAATACTAATATATATTTTTTTCAAATGCAGTAATATGGACGCCCATTTTAATAACACACACACACACACACACACACACTCTCTCTCTCTCTCTCTCTCTCTCTCTCTCCCTCTACTTCCTCCTCTTCCCACCACCACCACCATCACTCTGCCTCGCCCTCTTCTTGCCCTCCCTCGCCCAATACTCATTCTTCTCCCTCTTCTCGCGCTCCGTCCTCTTCTCCGCATTCTCCTCCACCTTCTTCCTATACCCATCTTTGCGCTCATCCTGCTTCTTTCTCCTTCGCTCAACCTTGTCATTGCGAATCGCCACCACCTGACTGAGTAATCGACGTGCTTTCTTTTCCTCGCCGCCCAGCACCACGGCGCGCTTCTGCATGTACGTGGGGTTCTTTTGAGACTTTGTGACTGCGGCTTGGGATTTGAAGGGGAGGTCTGCGGCGAGTTTACGGGGGACGCGCAGGGGGTTGAAGACGCGAGTTTGGCGGTCGACGGGGCGGTAGGCGCTGTTTTGTTCCGAGGGGGTGGGCAGGCCGACTTCGTGACGAACAGCGCCGGTGAGGCGCATGCCGGTCCATGAGGTGGATTCGCCGGGTTGGGCGGTGGAGTCGGCGGGGCAGAGGAGATTGGTGACAGTGTTGTAGAAGCGGTGGGGCTTGATTGGGTACCAGGCGCGGAGGAAGACGATGTCGCTCATGAGGATCTTGTCTTCAAAGGTGGCGCGGAAGTTGCCTTCGGGTTTGCTGAGGGCGCGCTTGATTTGGCCGCGTACGCCGGAGACGGTGCGGATGCTTGCGCCTTCGAATTTTGCGATTTCGAGAGCGGATTTGAACATGTCTTTTATAAAGGCGGTGTTTTTGAAGATCTTGTAGGGGTGGCCGGTCAACTTGAGCTTCTTGACGATTTCGGTGCTTTCGTCTACGTTGAGGACTACGCCGGTAGCTGCGATACGGAACCCGGGTGTCTTGTTGGATAAGCTCTGGACGCAGACGAAACCCGTATTTGGAGCAACAAGTGGCCCGTAAAAGGTACCGAAACAGTGCATATGCTCTGGTGTGTACTTGAGCATACGATTTCGTGTTCGTGAATCTGAGATGCTGTAGATGGGTGTGGTCTGGAATCGGCGCCATCCCAAGGAGAAGATGAGGGGATCATTTGTCTTGAGAATCTTCTTGTGCCATCGGTGTCTCTTGATGCGTATTTGCACATATCCAAAGCGCTCCTCTGTAGGTGTGAGACCGCCGATTAAGACAGGGAAGCGGGGATTGAAGTATTGCGAGAACTCGCAAGGCACGTTTTCGAGCACAATACGCGCGTAGGTGCCTGCTCGGTGACCTTCGACGCGGACGCGCGAGTCCTCATCGAGCTGGTCGAACTCGGCGCGGTTGATGTCGAGCTGTTTCTGAATCATGGCCTTTTGAGCATCGTACCAGTCATCCTCGCCAAACTCTTCCTCTTCGCCACCTTCTTTCCGACCGTCTGACTTGTCGTTCATGAAGCCCTCTCGGTCCTCCTCTTCGAATCGAAGTTTCAGCTCTTCTTTTCGCCGCGCGTTCTTCTCGCGCTCTGCTTCGATGGAGTTGGCTTCGGCTTCGGTTTCAGTCTTCTCTGTCTCGCCCCCGTGCTTCTCGCCAGTCTCCAAATCTTCAAATTCTCCATCGCCCTCGTCATCTTCATCAAAGCCTTCAAAGTCATCACCGTCCTCTTCACCATCACCTCCCTTGCCGTTCATGTGACCAGTAGCAAAGCGACTCATCAAAGCCTCGACGTTTTCCTCGTTTTCCCATTTTTCTTCCAGCTCTTCATAGTTGAGCTTGGGAATATATCGGTCTTCAGCGTTGGCAGCATCGTCCGCTTTTCGCTTATTGAAGAAGCCGTCTTCCTCTTCATCCTCGTCCTCTTCAATATCGTCCTCTTTCTCATCACCTCTCCACTTCTCAATAACTTGCTGTGGCGCGAGATCCATATTGTACATCATTTTCGCAAGATCAGTGACGCGGTAGGGTCGCCTCTGCCCATGCATTCTGGCGGCATTCTCCCGTAAATTGGCTTTCCAGCGGGCACCATCTTCAGCGTCCTCATCGTCTGACTCTTCTGAACCAAAGTCACCGTCTTCAAGCCCATCAAGATCGTTCTCGTCTCCAGATATTGAACCAAGATCCGAGTCACTGTCCGCAAATGCCACATCCTCGTTTGTATCGCCATTGCCCTCTTTCTCCTTACGTCCAAGCTTGAGATCACTGCGGGGCAACCGAGTTTCAAGGAATCCAGTGTCATCCTCGTCGTCATCTGCGTCGCTGTGATCTTGTTGCAACTCTTCGTCATCGCTGTCGATATCATCGAGATCTGCATCATCGACGTCCTCCGCATCTGCTGCTCTAGCTGTGCGATGTGACTTTCGACCAGTATTCGCAACGTCATCATCGTTGTCGAGATTCTTGTTGTCGACTACGTCGCCATCCCTGAAGAGCCTAAAGTTCCCTTTATCTTCACCTAACAGTTTTCTTCCACCCTGAAGACCAATCATCATCTGCTCTCCGAGTCCCTTTTCAGAGTAGTCTGCCTCTGGATCGAATGTCGCAGTCTTGACATCAATGTAAACAGCATCCTTGTCGACAAGCACACCACCAACGTCAGACATTGGGGCATACAAAATCTTTTGCTTCTCGCCCAACCTTGCGCGCTTCTTCTTGCCCGAAACCTTTTCAGCCTGCTTTTCTGCAAATGGTGTGGGGCAAGGGTCTGGCAGCGCCTCGGTCGAGCTCACAGTGAGATCGCCGACACCCGGTATATGTACTCTTGAGCGTCCAGCCGGGAAGTTTGTTCCGCGCAGGTAACCGTACAGCGCCACGGTGCGATCGCATTTTGGATTTTGCTCAATATCCGTCGGGGGCGTGATGTCCAGAAACCTATCTGCAAGACAGTAGGGATGCGAGTTCCTCCAAATCAGCGGTCGAGGATTCTTCATCACGCTCAAAAACCTCGATAGGTTCATGATTTCGCGATCGGGGTATCGCCCATTGACGACGCCACTGAGGTAGAAGAGCTTGGCGCCCTGGTACAGCTCGCTCCAAAATCTGTGCTTGAGCCGCTTCTTCTGCAGCTTGAGCGTCTCTTGCTTTCGGAATAGATCCAGATGAGTCAAGATACCAAAGACGTTTCCGGGCATACCGCTCGCGCTCAACACGTTGAGAAACTCCATTGTCTCCATCTCAAAACCGTAGTTGCCATCAATCATCAGCAAACATATGTCGACGACTTTTGCGATGTCGATCATGCTGGCGAGGGAGTCAGCGGGACATTCTATGAACGTGAGGCGTCGGCGCTTCGAGGTGACGACTGTGAGGGGGCCTTTGGGCGTAGAAAGTGTCTGCTTGGTATATCGTCTGATCAAGCTCTTTATTAGAGTTGTTTTTCCAACGCCCGGAGGACCAACGACGGCGACGACGATTGGGGGCGCCTCTTCGGGAAGACGGTCGACGAGCGGTACGTGAAGGCGCTTCTCTTTGACCTGCGACTATTAGTTTACATTGCACAGTATATATGTTGGCATGCATACTTCTGAAGATCGCGCGGCCTGCTTCTTCAGCCTGCCCGGCGCAGCAAATGCAAAAGCCTTGGGGTTTCTGTCTCCCGTATGCGGCTTCTTCTCCTTCTTGGGCCGATGAGGCCGATTACTCTGCTGGTCCGCCATGGCAATCGCAGTATTACGTGCGTGTAGTGAAAAAGAGTGGCGATAAGGGCAAGAGGCGCATTGGTTGCGCGCAGCCTTAGGGAAGTTTGAGAGCGGCAAGCAACTTTCGCGATCCCAACTTTTTCGGCGCCAAGACAGACGCTAAGCGGCGGCTGCAGGGATGCGCTTATCGATAAGCCGCGAGGTGGGATGTGGATGCATGGAGGGGCCCGGCCAGCGCACGTCATCACCCCAGCGCTTGCGTCCAAGGCCTTAGGACTGGCTTGCTGCGTATAAAGCCGCTGATACGCCTCTGCTTTACCTATCTTGTCTCCTCCCCTCACTACGGAACACTGCAAACACATATACACATACACTCTACCTACTCCTCTTCACAAGCAAACAAAACACGCTCAAAATGGCCCAGTTCAACGCAAGTAACCCCCGCCACATGTCGTTGGCAAGAAAGGGTCACATGCTAACACTTCCTTGTAAAGATCACCCTCAAGAAGGACGCCCCCAAGGAGGAGCTTGACGCCGCAAAGAAGAAGGTCACTGATCAGGGCGGCAAGATCGTCAACGAGTTCACTCTCATCAAGGGTTTCACGTACGTCCATACTGGTCTCTGGGTGTTATATGAGCCAGACAAACATACTGACTGCCTGGACAGCGCCGAGATCCCCGACGATGTCGTGTCAACTCTCGAGTCCAACGAGCACGTTACTGTAGAAAAGGACGCTGAGGTCCGTACGCAATAGAGCGTGTCGTACACGGGGAGATGCTGATAACCATGGCAAAGATACAAATGTAATGCGAACACAAAACGATACCTCATGGCATGCTGCATGACCGTCATGACTGCAAAAAGTACATAGTAATAATGACCCGCCATCTGTGACAAGTCAGTAGTATGTCAAGTACGGCATGCGCATGTGTACTTTATCGCTGCCACTTCTCAGCCTCCGCCTTTGCCTCTTGCACACTGTCTACGCGGCCCACACCCCTCAGGCTGAGATACACATCTGTGCCCCATCCCCACAGACTCTGCACCGCAATGCCCCCTCCAAAGTATTCTGCATAGGCTCTGCCCAGTGGCAGCCCATATCCCAGTCCCGCCAGACTGTTTGCCCCGTCCCCGCCAGCCCCCGAGAAGGCATTCAGAGCATCCATGCCATTTGCCGAAGACACTGAACCTCCAGACAGCGTAGACGAGGCTTGCGCATCGTTGAATGTGGTGAAACTATAGTCCCAAATGTGTTGGAGGTTTTCTGGCGAGATGCCACCGCCGCGGTCGCGGATGCGTATGGTCACGCCTGGTGTGCTGTGTTTGAGAGGAAGGATGTCGGCAGCTGTTGGAGGCGGGGATGACGACGTGTTGTCGCTAAATTGGTGCGATGCCTTGTCTACATTTCCTTGACTGTCATTGTCAATTTTGTGATCACGTATGCTTTCCCCCTCTCCGCCATCCGCAACTCTGTCCTCTGGCAGTAGTTCGGGTAGTGGGGCGATGGTGACTTCGATGGGCTCGCGCTCCATGCCGCTCTCGACAGTTGCGCGGAAAGCATTCTTGAGCAGTTCGGTGATGATGTACTCGAGGTGTACAGGCACGTGGGCGAATTCGTATCCAGGCTCGCCATTGACAACCACTGTCGGCCGCACGCCGTATTTCAGCTCACAGATCTCACCCACCACGTTGGCGCAGTGATGGACAATGCGTGCGGGTTTCAGCTTGGTATCGATGACGCCAATGAACCCTAGATTGTCTTCGACGTCGTGCATCACTTCGCAGTGGGGTTGGCTGGAAAAGTGCAGTGACAAATGCTGCTCTGCAATCAGTCGCGTGCCTATCCTGGCCCGCAGATGCTCGTCGAGAAAGCGCGTGACATTGGTTGGGCTGATGTACTTTCTCGCCTCCAAAAAGCCTCTTGCCAGTATGCTAATCGTGTTCGCGTGTGTCTGCACCAGGTCGGCCATGACCTCTGTAAATTTGATTTCCTCGTCTAGCGTCTTAATTTCCTGCTCGGCCCATGGCAGTAGCGTCGACAAGCTGTGCATGTAGTTGGAGTGAATTTTGGACACATGGGGATTCGACACGACAATGAACGGGAGGTTGCGCAGCGACTGGATGCGATGAGCGAGGCGGGCGGGCAGGATGGAGAGGGTGAAGTTGGCCGACTGGAGGAGTTGTTGGGTTGTCAGCGGTGGTCGTCCATGTCTGTTGCGTGCGCCGTGTCAGTTACTTAGGCCAGTCTTTGTTGCGCAATCCCATTCAAATCAGTGTCTTACTTTACGAGATCGGTCAGGGTTATTGGGTAGAGAGGCAGGCTCGCCAGATGCGAAATGTCCCGGTCTGTGACGGTCCTGGTGTGCAGCTTCTGCTGTCGACTCCCACGTGCCGACAGAGCATTGCTCGCCCTCCTTGCCGTGCGCGGACAGCAGAGCCGTATGACTTGGGATTGAATAATGAGAGGCCGTTGAACCTGCGCCATGGCTGCCACGATGGCTACAAGGTGGCAATATTCGCACGCAGGGTGCCGTCGCAAACGAGGCAACCCAATGGACTTGTGGGCGATGCTCAGCCAAGCTCATGCGGGACGAGTGGGCCATGCGGGCGGGACATGCGGGCCCATGCAGGGTTCCGTCACCTCGTTCAACACCCCCTTGTCCTTTCTCTCCATCAAGTCATATAGCCGTGTGATACGTAGTGGTGCATGTACGTACGAATGCATAAACATACACCATCCAAAAATACACTCCTATTTCATACATATACATTCGACTACAAGCAAAGTCGCTATCTAAACTACTTGGGTATATTTCCTGTCTATCCTCCTTTCCCTACATACAGCCCTTCTCAACCCCCAAATCCCATAAAACTATCCCGCACAGGGACATTTCCATCAATCGGCCGACTGTACCGACTGCTCACTGAATTGGCTGCCTTCGCTCTCGAATAGAGCCGCTCAGACTCCGGCATAGGAGGCGGCCACAAATCCTTGGTCGACACATTCGACATCTTCGGTCCTGCCGCCATGATGCGTGGACTCGGGGAGAGCTGCGGGTCAAATATGCCAGACGAAGGCCGCCGCTCGCCGTATGCAGCTAGGCTGTTGTAATAATCACCATTGGTCATGGCTTGTTGTTGTTGAATGTACCCTCCCGTCTTGGGGTTATAAATGCCACGCTCTTGATAGTTGTCCCGTTCTTCGGGTGAGAGAAAGGGTCCAACGGCGTCTCTGTCCTTGTCTTCTACTCCTCCTTGCTCGCCAATGCTGCCTTCTTTGCGGAAATTGAACGGCGCCCCGATGCCACTGTCTTCGGAGCCCTTGAGATCTTCCGTTTTCCCCGAGAAATTCGACCGCCTTCTTACGGCTTGGTTGAAAGCTGGAGGAGTGTCCTTTTTGTCGAATCCAAACGTCGCCATCGTGTCGTGTCTCCCTGGGTTGAAAATAGCAGACTCGGTTCTGGGTGAGTTTCCCGCGCTTACGTTCTTGGCAATATGTTGTTCTACCCATCCTCTGATACCTACCAATGCCGTGGCGCTCATTTGTACCACTAGAAAGATGCTAACAATCCCCGCAGAAGAGCTGGAAGAGAAGAACGCATCTACAATACATAGCGAGATGGTACGAAGTGTCGTGAACCCCTGGAGAAAAGCAAACTGGCCCAAGATCAAACTAAGCTGTATGCTGAGACTGCTCAAGAAATAAATACGCTGTGGTGATTTGGCAAGTCCGATAGGGCCTTTGATTCCCACAAACGCAGAGGGCGAGGGGTGCGGCATTGTACTACGTAGCCGGGCGACCCCCAAGCCAAAGGTAGGCAATATTATGATAAGAGAGATCAAACCGAGTATCTGGTTAGATTAGTAAGTTGATGGGCTGTTATGAACTCTGTAGCGAGGAGCACTTACGCCGTGCACGTCCCTGAAATGACCGGTATTGCCCATACCGACAATGCCCAAAATGATGCCAGTAGTACCAAAAACAGCAAACATGGCCAGAAACCCCATACGCCATTTCCGGTTCTTCATCTCGCCAACTGGGTACCCTATGAGAACCGAGAAGCGCCAAACTACACCCAAGATAAGATATAGCGGTAGGAAAAGGAGAAAGCCGAGGCTTGTAAAAATCACTAGAGTCCAATGTCAGCCGCTATCCTTCTCCGAGGCACCGTCTTTTGAGGGCTTACCATGCAGCCAAGTAAGTGTAGTAAATAAACTCAGTGCTTGTCCATTGATCTTAATGCTTTTCTCTTGCGTGTTAATTTCGAAGTTGTTGCCTCCTGATGTAACCACAACCGGCCCTTGAGGCAAAAGTCGCAGGACCATGGGATCGAGTGGAACCCCTACTTGGCCCATGGCTATCTCAATCATCTCAACCTCCGCTTTTGACGTGGACATGAAACCCATAGCTGCCGAGATGATGCCGCCGACGCCTTGACAAGTCAAGGAATCGACAATTTTCTGCGCACCTATCTGTGCCGTATCTGAATCGATCGCCAAGGGTATTTGAGCTCCATCAGATAGCTGAGCTTGGCGAGTGGAGAGGGGATTGATTTTATCTAGACCCTGTTAGTGAGTGGTGCGATATCTCTGAGCGTACAGACCTACCTACACTGACCCCCTCATCCTCATCGACAATGCTACGTTTTTTACCCATAGTAGCATTTTCCGATGCTTGTGACCCTCCTGTAAGATTTCGTGCAACTTCCGCAATGAGTATAGTTGCCTTTCCGGATAAACCCCGTGCGAAGCCCACAGCAGCACCGTTAATGGAGTCGTTGAATTGCGTCGGGCCCAACGCTGGCACCTTGCCAAATGCATCGACCGGAAATTCACCGGTAATGAGATTTTTGAGCCCTCCACATGAGGACATGGCAGTCATGACGCCCTCGATTGCACCTCTACCTAAGCCTTCCGCTGCCTTGGCCGCATCGAAGCCTTTGAATGCCTGTGGTGGGCTGTCTGTAATCAATTTCCTGGCCTTTTGTATGGCGGAACTATTCTCTAGAAAGTTCGAGAAGAAGTTTCGTGTAAACGATTCAGCAGCTAAAGCCGTTTGCACCTCTTCGGTGCTGATATCTCCGGTAATCGTCGAAGTGCTGTTCGTAGTCTTGATATCCAACCCGACGGCGATTCCCGTGCCAATACCGGCTCCAGCTCCCGCCGCTATAGATCCAAGCATCTTCGGAACATCAAATGAACTAAATAAAGCTGCGCTCATTGCAGCATTGATGTCTGAAAAGTCGCTTCCTTCAATAAATGACTGACTGAGACCCTTGGCGAATAGTCTCACAGCTTTGGGGAACTTTGGAGAATCCAGTGGAACGTCTTGGGGCTGCCGTTTTTGTTGTTTTCGGTTGTTGTTTTCATTGTTGTTGTCATTGTCGTTGTCGTTGCTCTTATCGTTTTTGTTGTCATTTTTGTTTTTGTTGTTCTTGTTATTCTTCTTATGCAGGCCGAATCCGTTTCTCATGCCTTTTCCTAAGCCAATGCCAGCCGCTGCTGCAAATCGAGGAAGCCGCTGTATCAGTTCCGAAGCAGTCGAGCTGTTAGTCCAGCTCGTTATCGAGGCTTTGAGATCCCTTTTGCCAACTAGTGGCATTGCAACTCCCAAGCCAAGATTGCCTGCTATCCCTACGATGCTTGAATCTTGTGATGGTTGGAACCGCTCCTTTGTCAGACCCAACCCTACTGCGGTTGCGTTGCCGACTCCAGATGCTAGAGCATATGCCGCCAGGCCGACTGGAACGTTTCCTTTGTCGACTGCGGGCAATAGTTGCCTCGATAGCCCATTTCCCAACTGCTGAGCCGCGAGGTTTATTCCAGTCGCGGACAAGTTGTACGCAGTCACAATACTGTTGGCTATGGCACTAGCTTCCTCCTCGTCGGTCAAGTTGAGCCCAGTGGCTGTTCCCATACTGTAACGGGTTAGTTTGGCCTATTTGTATGCTAGCATACTTACCCGAGACCAATGCCCAAGAAGAGAGCAGGTGTACCAAGCGAATCAGTGAGTGAGTCTCCCAGACAACCAAGGATGTTTGTTAGTCCACATGACGAATTTCCTCCTATAACTAAACTACCCAATAAGTCTTCCAAGGATGCGCCAAAATTTGCCAAAGGATCTTGTCTTTTGTGTCTGTGTTGTTGCTTATTGCGAATGCGGTCAACTCCATCTGTCAGGTTCGTCCCGAAGCTCCTTAGTTCTTCCCACCCAAACTTTCCTCCCAGGTCTGCGGAAGAATGTGCGACTATCGCCGTGAGTGAAAGAAGTGCGTTGTGAAATTGTGGATCTTGATTCAGCGAATCGAGGGTTCTCGTAGAAAAGATAGCCGTGAGGCTGTGTGGGTAATCGCCGGTAGCGTCTGGACTCTGCCCGCTGATCCAGAAGCCAACTGAAGAGTATGATAGGAAGAAAATGGCCGAAAATGCCAGTAGGCACCAGGTAAATGTGCCAGCAATAGAAGAAAACATTATTAAAACAGTCTAATGGGGTATCTCAACAACATCTGCAAAAAGAGAAGAAGGCTTGACAATGTTGCTGCAGGTAAGTTGCCACACCACTTATGGCATCAAGGAAGACGTGCAGTATTGCCAGCTGGTAGCCAGGCCCTAGTATATGCCGGCACCAGTGAACATGGTGATGCTGTCAAGGATAGCAATGCCGAAACATTCTAGGCATGAAACTAGAAACGCCCCGACTCCATGTCCAGCGCGTAGCGTGGTGAGGACACTCATGGTTCACCTACAACGCTGGGTATAGGTGGAACTTGCCTTTGTAAATCAAAATCTGAAGGAGAGCGCTGCATGACCTGGCCAATCTAGGTTGAAGGAATCATGCACTCTGCCAATCCACCTGGGGATGGGAATCGGCACAGGTCTACCGAGAAAACAGAACAGATCACATCGCCGAGCCTGCGCATTGCAAAGAAGCGTTTCTGTCAATGGCCCTGACACTCGGACGTGGAACTTTTAACTGGCTTCCAGGGTTGCCCTAGTGGATGTGAAGATCCCGTGGTGGAGCCGTCCGCTAATGCGACGATCTTGAAACGTACGCTACCATTGAATGACATGCAACAACCCTTGCATCATTGACTCTATTGCGACACGTGCTCCAAGAATGCTCCGTGCTTGCGGACGAATCCAGAGAGAAATACCAGTAAAAGCCCCAATCATGTCCAGACTCGACAGTTGGGCACCCCCCAAACTAGGTTAGCGGTCTTTGCATATTCAACGCTAACAAAACGTTGATCCTTTGGCTGCGATGACTCGTACTGATGTTGCCCTGTCGCGCCATTTTGTTCCAGATACACACATATGCTGCTTTGTCTGAGCCAGCCTTGGGAGCGAAGACGTTTCAGTACACCGGCGGCTTAGACCGAGGCAGATTCGCGGGGATCCTGATTTACGAAGCGTCAGTGAGACACCGGAGCTCTGTCGTACAGTTGGCAGATTTCAAATTAGAGGAGAGCACGAGACATAGTGGAAGGGTTGCAGATTCGCAAAGACGCTTCCCATTAGTGGCTGAAGAAGTCTCCATGTTACCCATGACAGGTTGAGCTGAGGCGGAATGACTTGCGGATGGCAGTAAGCGCAATTATCAAGATGATTCCGGAAAATGTGTTATGAATATCAGTTCTTGATGAATGTATTGTGAATATCAATTCTTGATTTGCATTACATATTTCGAGTCAAAACTCGTTTCTCCCCAAGCTGGTCCAAAGCCAGAAACGCCCGCTGTTGCGCGAATCCTCAAAGGTGTATGTATCCTTTATGTTGGATATCTTTTGCCCCCATGTTGGTTGTCGACTTGCATGTCCCTTGTTCGATGGTAGCCTGTTAAGTTTGGCTCTGGGATCCGCTCATCATGATGAGTAGATGACTGAAGAAGCAACCACGATAATGACAAATTGCAACCGATTCAAAAACCACTCAACTGCTCGGCTGTATGCTAATGGCTGGTTCAAGTTGACACTATTAGCTGATAGCTCTCGTATTACAGAAACGAACAACTCGCTGGTGAAGCGGTAGAAAGGCCTGTTGTGCGAGCTGATGTCCCATTGCAATACGCAGAGAGAGGAAGACATTAGCTTGTACATGGTCATTCTTTCCATTGACCAAGGGAAGGTATTCTCGATGCCGCTCATGTCTAAAATCCAATTCCTGTTCGAAGCCTGCCTTGTCAACACGTTATGAAAAGCAAACAAAAATCGGTGCCTTGAATGACAGAGAGAACACGACGTGCATGTGTTGCTCAAGTCAGAATTTCTCTCCTGCATGCTTTGTTGCTATTGTCAGGCCAGTTGATGTATTGCTGGACGTGCTACTCGCGCTAGTGCTTTTTCGTCTCTTGCGTTCGTGGGCGATGTCTGGACTGTGGCTGAAGCGTGTGTTGTTTGGTAAGGGCTGTTGGGGGAAGTAGCCATACTCATCGTCATGCATGAACCGTACAGGTGTCCTCGATCTACTCTGCACCGGGCTCATCCGCAAGATCTCTGATCCGACGCTCAGTCGCTGACCTGGGCTGGCAGTGCCCGTATGGCTTAACCTGCGCCTTCTGGTTGGTGTCTCGGCAGGTAGTTCAAGTCTTGAGTTGATGCCCATCCACAATGCCTCTTCGTCGTCATCACCTGCGACTCTCCAGCCACCTACGCCTTCAAAATCTCGCGTCAACTCGCTGGTACCGATCAGAGCGGTAAGGGAATTGTTCTTTCGCTGAAGAAAGTTTGGAGACTGAGCAGAGCAGGCAGCAGTGCCCTGGGTAGATGCTGTGCCGGTGATACTGGTACGGCGGGAGCGCTGGTGTACGCTCTTTGGTGAATGTCGGGCTGACGCGGGTACGGGGCGAGAATGACGGGGAGGGCTGTATTTCGATGGAGGTGACGGAGAGAGCCACACGCCTACAATGGCAATGGCCAGGCGAGAGTAGATGGCCAATGCGCGCAACGACAGAAGCGTGATAGCGATGGACGTGGTAACGAGGGCGAAGAAGGCGAGCGGGATGGAGATGGAGAGCAGGACAAAGGGCGCGACGGCATAGATGGGGCTCCACATGCTGAGCTCAAAGCTCAGCGAGCCCAAGCGTAGCAACATGTTGTTGGAGGTAATGATGCGCGTCTTGGGGGAACAGTGGACAAGAAGACAGGGTGGAGCGTGTTCGCATGTGAAAGTTGCGGGGAAATGCCAAGCCGGGACGCATCCGACTGCTCCACCAGCAGCAGCTCGACACAATAAAATAGAGATGATGGCGATTATGAGCGATGGTCAGCCGTGCCTGCGTGTGCCAAATATCTTCATCTTCCTTTTCTCAGCCTCAGACGCTTGCTGGCCCGTTCCGAGCACGGTCTAGTTCCTAGTTGCCAGTGAAACGCCTCGCGGTGCTGCGCGCGGGCGTGATGCCGATGCCGATAAGGACAGCGCTGAGTGAAGTGCCTTTGAAGATGCTCTCGTACTGCTCAATCTTCAGGCGGGTGCTGTACGGCTGTCGCTTGATGCGTAGAAATGTCGCTCCTGTGATGGCTAGCCACGTGCCAAAAAGAATTTCGTAGCGATACTTTTCAACCACAGTTTCTGACGCGCTGCTAGACATGCTGCTGGACAGTCAGTTGGACGAAGGGAAGTTTGGGAGCAGATGAAATGGGGCTGATGGGCGGAGACGGCGGTGCTGATATGGAAAAACTTCATGACGTCGCCAGCCCCCTCCATTACCCTCTCGCCACCCCCGTCACCCCAGACACGGCTCATCGTCAGCCAACCATTGTCTGAGGCAACGAGCTGCGCGATAAAACCAAAATGCACGCCCAAGAGAAGGGGTGCCATCCTTTCATGCCGGATTTAGTTAGACGACGCGCTCTGGATTCTAGCCCCAGCTCTGATTTGGCGATACCAATTATTGCAAAACGCAGCCAAGTGATTCGTTTATTAACGACACCAACTCCGCACTTGAAGGTGTCAGCCGCTGTTACAAGGCTTTACGAAGCTATATCAACAATAAAGCTGTGCAATATACTATATATAGTATTTTGCATTCAACCCAACAACGACATCAGCAGCCTGTAAATGTTTTACTTGATGCTTTTGTCGGAACAATGCCTACCTCCACCATCTCATCCCAAGGCTAGTCGCAACCTGCCATTGTTATCGCTATGCGCTTTAGATCCAATCGTTGATCAGCCCTCGCGATAGCCGTCTCACCCAGGGTGTGCAAAGTGAAGCTGACTGGGTATCGTTAAAGAGGCCTATAGTCGAACGCCTTATTTGAAGCGGTGTGCAACTCACCGCCCTACCACAGTAGGCATCCCTACCTTGTCAAGGCCAAAAGCCGAAGTTGCAAGATCTACATTTGTGGTAGTCTATTTCTTTGTAAAAAAAAGACTCGGCATTTTTCACCGAGATTCACGCCGTCAGTTATAGAGAATAGTGAATGTCTTCCTGCTTAAACCTTTAGGCCATGTCGAGCTGCTATCAGGCAATAGTTGGGAAGATTACATGTATATATCAACCTTGACGAATAACATGATACTGAGATGTCCCTCGAATCGTCAGGTAGCGGCTTTCCTCTAATGAGGGTCGCTCTCGAATCTGAAGCCCATCACTTTCCATGTTATTGATGCACGATACTCGATGAACTCTCAGCGTGAGACAACATGACTATCATACAGGAAAAGTCATTCTGAATTGTAGTTCAAATCTTTGTACGTAATCAGATTGCAGACGCGACGTTGTTCAAATGAGCGTTGGATTTCATCGCTAAACATTGTGCATGTCCCATATACCAAGTGTGTAAATAGCCTCAATCCACCTGGCTATACAATGCAGGACATGTTGATATAAATCTGGCTTTCTAACTTACCATAAGATTACTCACACCAGCACCTCAGAGAGCAAGGAAAACAAGAAGCCTTTCCAGTTCCACGAGACCTTTACAATCAATAATCCAAATTTTCTACTCGGACTTTGATATCTTGTCACACCCAACGTCACCGTAGCCATGCAACCATCTCTCATGACGCTAGTCCTTCTAGCACCAACACAAGCTATAGCATCCGAGCCCACCCAGGTAACCAAGGTAATTGTAAGAACCAGCACCATTGACGCTCCCTCCGAGTTCACTCAAGCTAGCATCGTAGCTCAGCTGCAGAAAGATTCGATGCTCCCTGCTTCCCCAACCCTAGCTTGGATAGAACCTTCCTGGTTGTTGTACAGCGACGCCACACCCACCGAGACATCGGTTGCGGCACCCACTGAGACTCCAGTCGCAGCACCTACGTCCAAACCCGATAACTGGAACACCAACCCTAAAGAAGACAAGATTCACGTAATGATCTTCCTCGGCGTCACCGGCGGCCTCTTCGGCCTCATGGTTTCGCTAGGCCTCCTCGGCTCCTGCGTTCAAGTATATCAGCGTCGATCTCGCGCTAAGAAGGCATCCGGCTCCTCTTCCAATAATGACCAGACTAGAGACGTGGAGCGTACCGCCGGTCTCCCAGGTAATTTAGGCATTCTCAAATCAGATGCTAACAATAGTTCCCGGACGCTTGTTGCGGGTGAGGCGCATGAGGGTGGTGTTGTTATCATGATGCCAGAGTTTCCGGCTCCTGCGTATCGGAATAATATTTCGCCTCAGGATGTACATTATCCGGAGGGCGAGACGATGTCTCAGGCGCCGCAAGGATCGGCTTCGGTGCGTCCAACGGGCTCTTGAGATGCTTGAGAGTAAACCATGTTCCTCGCTTAGAAGGAGTGTTGTTTTTAGACCATAAGGTCCATAGGTATAGATTGTTTTCAGTTTCAATCTTCCAACATACATTCATTTAAGAAAAGAAAATCTACGATCTATTGAAACTAGTAAGTAAAGTAGATAAGTAAAATAGCTAATACTCGTAGATTCTCTTAGCTTTACTCATTAAGACTATTATGTCTACTTATTCATAATATTATATCCTAATATGTGTAATATATTAGAATGCCATTTTTAACGATAATTTTGTTTTATTTTAAATATCTAATCCTGGTAGGTTAGAGTATAATTTGATATTCTTTTCTAAGATAACTAACCTAATCTACTATATAGCGAATAGATATAAAACTTGTTCAGTCATCAACTATATTGTATTGAGAAATTATTGGCCTACTTAAGTTTTAGTAACATGCCAGCATCATCATCATACGCCTGCCCGTGCATAATCCCATGAACATAAGCGTCACCAACAAGGAACCAATATCCATCGTTCCTCTGTCTGACGATAAACGGCACAGCCGCCCCTTTAAGCAGGATCAATTTATCGCCAGCCTTGACATGCGCTGGTAGTAAGCAAAGCCAACCTGATTTGGTTCTTCCAAGTCTTCTTCCTTTGGTATGAGGAATCATTTCGCTAAAAGCCCCATAACTCTTCCAGGTCGCCCAAAAGTAACCCATCAAACCTAGAGTTTTGAACAAGGTTGGAAATTTCGATACCTTCATTCTCCTAAGGCCGCTGATAGGTGACAATTGGGAGCGCCATTCACGGAACAATCTTTCGATTTTCTCTTCACCTTCGGGGTCAAGCAGCCCTGTGCAAAGCGTTTGCCAAAACATTTTCTTGGATGGCTGTGCGTCTTGTGTGCCATAAATGTAACACGGCTGGCGATCAGCAAAAGTCTCCCACGTGAGGAACACGTTGAAGAAATCAACCACACCAAGTAATAACTTGTATACCTTCCAGAGCTCGCAGCCTATTTCGAGGAAAATTCTCCCCAACGAAGGATCCTCCTCCGATGTATAACTCCAATCAGCGTCATCGGGTATAATAAGCAAATCGCTGTATTCAGCAATGACATCTAAAAGCTGACCAGTCACACCCACGACATCTGGCTCATGATAGAATTGAGCACGCGCTGTCGAGCCCAAGGAAGCTTCATAACGCCGTAACTCGTCAAAGCCGTTTCGTATCAATGGCATATACATTGTTTCTGAGCTGCTCCAATCGGGGACCCAAGAAGGCAAGCAAGCTTCCTCGTCGCTTGGAGCGTCATTGTGGATGCAATGGCTGAAGATGTCGAGATTATTGGTCACTCGTATAATTTCAACTGCCGTTGCACGGTAGACCTTATTGACGGAAGCGGTATAGTCTACTACAATATGCAGATCCTGACGATTGCCCTTCAGCAGCCCCATAATTGCAAAGACCTTATCGCGAGGATTTGTTGCCAATCTGGGTCTCAGGGTCGTCAGTAATCGAAGCAATTGCCCTGCTATGTTACCCTCCAATGGCTTATCCTCAAGTTCTTTGATGGATTGAAGACCTTCCAAGCAATCATCGCGGATCCCAGCTATCCTGGAGTCGAATTTGTCCTCGAGTGTTCCGTATTCTACAGCATTCATGAAACGCTTCCAATCCACTTGATATAGGCCGCACATGATGATCTTTTCAGACGCGAGACATACTTCCTGCACAACCCAAGCACGTGTCCACCAATCCACCTGAGCCAATTCTCCGAGGATATAGCAGCCATGACGCAAGTCTTCACGTTCCTTTTTAGTTCGTGAAGCATCTAAAGGAGATTTTGTTGAAGCGGTAGCTTCTCCGATGGACTGCTGGCGTGCCAGGGCTTCGCTTTCTAAAGTTGTGATGCAATCGAAGGCGAGGTTGACATACTCATAGGACGGTCCGAGCCAAACAATTGTGCGTGTAGCTTGTGTGTAAATGTCACCCATGATCCCGACTTGTTTCGCACGTTCGTGTATATTGCTTTGATCAATACAGATTGCGTCCGCCCATAAAAGGCGAGACTCCGTAGGGCGCCTAAGGTCCACTAGAGCTGAACGCAAGCTTTCGCCGATTTGCAAAGTCAGTTCGTCCACCTGAATAGGCGTTGTCCGACTAATATCTCCCCAGACATAAGATAGTGCCTCGTACTCCAACCCCTTCCGCAGCTCTACTTGCAGAAGCTGGCATACGATATCGTCCTGCCGCGTTCCAGGAAGCAGCTCTATCACGCGAATGTATTTACAATCGTCCGTAGGGTTAGGCAACGCGGTATATACATAGGGGCTCGTCGTAATGGTGTTTCGTTTTTTGTCCGGTTTTGCAAGCTCGCAGTGATTGCTTTCCAGGGTGACGTCCAGAAACTCTTCCTCAGAAGAGGAAAGTGCCCGTTTGGGAACCTCAAGGAAGAGGTGTTTGGCGACTATCTTTGTGAAGTAGCCCACATTGTTTCTAGGAGGCAGGGCAGAGTCCGTGAAAAATCGCCGTGACATTATTGGTGGTATCCGGAATAGTAGGCCAAAGAATTTTGCATATAACTACATACGTTTCTTGAGTGGCGAGACCGTAGGCGTCTTTGATAATAAGAAACGTTGCCTCTAAGCCACATTTACCCCGCACATAACTAGAAATAATAAATCAGTACTAGCGTGGACGGCAGAAGAAGAACAACATCTGTTCCCGTCAGCGCTAGTTCTCTTAGGTCTAGTTGTATCTTATTTGCAGCAGCACGACTAACAATAGTCCTATTGGAAGCATTACCGGTAGAGATTTCCATTATGAACGTTTTGTGAAGCCCACCCTCTTCCTCTCGAATGCTAGTGGGCATCTGGTCAAAGAATGGTTCGTTATTAGTGGTGTTCTATCACAACTGAGTTTAGCCATGCAAAGAAAACTTAGTTAACTATGCATAAGGACAGCAAAGAGAGAGCGCACAGTTGCGCGTGGCAGGATTCCCGATCAACATGCGGTTGGGGAGGGAAGGGGAATTTCGTGGATTTTAGGCCTCGGAAATCGCCGCCCTTAGCTGGATGTGAATAGCGTAGCCACTTTTCTATTCTTACTAAAGAGAATCCCCTATTATTAGTTACAGCGCTTAGATTTAGTCTCCAATATATTAGCGTGTTGTTAAGTACTAAAATTGTAATTAACTCCTTAAATTTACGCTATATTTATAATATAAGTCCTAAGGTATAGTTACCTCGTACGCTAGTAACGATAACGCTTATTGTACCTAAATTATCCTTTACCTCACAGCAATTTAGATAAATAGCATCTTAATAGAATCTGTAGAGCTCTAAGTAGGGTAGCTAGATTATTCAGGTGCTCTACAATTCCGACTTGGACATATCTTTTTCAATGTCATGTTTGTCCACCACTACGAATTCGTCGTCACTTTCGGCAGTTTTCTGCTTCTTGGACGATGGCTGCTCTGAGTCTGTTACTTCTGCAGGATCGATAGTCGGAGCATCCGGAAGCTGTGACGCTAGCTCAAGGGGCTCGGTGGCGTGCTCCTCTTGGGGCTCTGACTCGGAGACAGGAGGGAAGTAGTCGCTATGATAGTCAGTACCAAGTAAGGATAAATCATGGAAGATTCACATACGCAACCTGCTCGAAATAAGCATCCTCATCCTTTTGCAGGAAATTGCAGAAGATGACTCGATCGAGCTTCTCGGCACTGCTTTCTTTGACCAAAAAGTCATGAACTGTCTTTAGCGCAATACTGCAAGCTTCATGGCTTGGGTATCCGTAGACACCAGTGCTTATAGCAGCGAATGCAATACTTCTGCAGCCGTTTTCGACAGCTAGCTCGAGGCTCTTTCGGTAGCAACCAGATAGCAACTCCGCTGCGCTAGATCCCACCTTCCAGTATATGGGTCCGACAGCGTGGATGACCTTCTTGCATGGCAGTTCGTATGCGTCCGTGATTTTGGCACTGCCCGTCTCACATCCGTTGAGTGTTTCGCATTCTTCTATCAGTTTGGGCCCAGCCGCACGGTGGATTGCTCCGTCCACTCCGCCGCCACCCAAAAGACTCGTGTTCGCGGCGTTTACGATGGCATCAACAGCGAGAGTTGTTATATCTTGTCGAATTATGCTGATTTTGTTATTGAGAGTGGCGGACGGTATGCCCTTGGGTTGTCTATTCTCGAGTTCTATCTTCTTGAGTTTATAGAGCAGCGACAAGGTTGGAATCTCGTCAAGAGACGTGATTGCCATCCTTGGGGGAGAGCGAGTTGATGAGTTTTTTGCGAGGTAATATGCGCTGGCCATGGGTTGTCGTAGTCGCTGTAGTTGTTGTAATGTTTGAATGACAGGACTAAATACCATCAAGGCGAGTGAAGGCTGAGAGTGTTGCCTAGTAGTTAGGTACGGTACGGAGTAGTATACCTAGTAGCTCCGAGTGGGCTGGAGCTTGGGCCCCGCGTTCCCCACCAATCACCCCGCCAAGAGCCTTACTGTGTGCATACCCCATGCCATGTTCACTCACCTCTATTGCCACGGCCAATCTGCCTTGCGCACTTCGAGAGGTGACAACTGATAGAAGTCAACTGTTGGTCGACTGCGAGAACGAGAAATATGCGGCTACTACTACAAGTCTTTGCCGGCTCTCTCACAGATGTTTTACAGGAACTTTGAGATTCTCCATTATGTAGAACCGACTTACCTCTCTTGTATATAGTTGTAATATATGAACTTCACGCCTACGCCGCTACATACCCAACGCTGCGTACAAAAACATTCTCTAGTGTCGATATTACATTACCTAGCTTTTTTTAATTTTTTTACTATCTCCATGCGATATGCGAAAGGGTGTAAATGTTGTTCCCTGTGAGTGTGGTAGTGCGGTACTGAGGTACTATGTTCTGGTTATCGATTACATCATGTGAGCCTTCTTAGAGATTGGAAATTCGGTCAACTCTGCAAGCACATACAATATACAGTCATATATTTTTTATTTTTACTACTATGGTACATACGACCAGAGGAAACTGAGAATTAGGCATCCCGTCCGATCTGCCCTATACAAGCAGTTTACCGGCGGATTAGTAGTTAGGTGGGTGACCACTAGCGAATCCCCGCTGTCGTATGTTTTTGGAAATTTTTTGCAACTTTTTGTTTTTTTACCCAACCTACAAGCTACATAGCAGGGTCTTGGCATTTCCGCCTTTAGGTTTGATACAGACTAGTGGATGCATCACTGTGTCTCCAAAGAAAATTAACTAGAGCTGTTTTCTTTCAAAATTGAACACTGTAAATAAAGGTGAGTTACTTGAACAAGTTCTAGTTTACAAAGCAGCACTTGAATACTCCTTTTTTTGCATCTTCATTTGCCTTGCCACGGCAATCCACATCAATAAAGGAAAGGCATCATGCACACGTCAAAAGCAGACCAAGATGTGACATGTCAGTAGGAACAAATGGCATAACGGGAGCCGCTGTATGGTAAATAAATTTGATTCAATTCAAACAAGAATGCGTAAGCCTAATGTATGAAAGGAGTTGAGGAAGAGTGGCTGAGCATACAGAATTATGAATGATACCCCACCTCATGGTACTGTCGCTGCGGAAGACTTTACCCAAGATCTCCTTGCTTCTAGTTCTTGAAACTACTAGTCGACGTTTTGGATACTTTACGAACATGCAATTCCATTCGATAATCTTCATGGCTGCTCCATTAGGCAGATGGGATAGGCCAGCCAACATAATGTCGTCACCAACAATGTACCTCTGCCTAGCCAGTGTGTTCTGATAGATGCGTAAAAAATTGATGAGGCTATATTCTGATATCGATTCAATGGGCTGGCTTGGCAAGATACTTGCAAATAGCTCGGCTCTCGTACATGATGAAAATATCATCGTCCGCGCGAGGTCGACATAGCAAAACCATACATTCTGAGAACCATTTCGATTATGACTCCGAGTTGAGGTAGGTACAGCTCAACAGATATGGTACAGTGTGGACTGACGGTGCGTTGTTATAGTCAAACGTCAACCCCCATGGTCAGGCAACTAGGCTATGAATAACCCAAGACTACGTTAGCCCAACACATGTGGAGGAGCCAAAGCTCGAGCAGCTAGATGTCTAGCCTGGGGTATAATTGTCTGTGCGTGCGGGGAATGACACGGTTATCGGACCCGAGATCCTGTTATAGAGACGGGGCATATCTTGTTAGCGTTTAGACTGGTTGATACGACGTGTTTTGCTAATCTTGTGTATGGCTTGGCGCTTGGTTGAGTCCATGATTCGAGGCGAACACCTGTCAGCGTTTACCAATTCTTCCCGCTATGCTTGGAAGTTGCAAGTAAGTAGGGATTCAGGCTGATGGAAGATATGTTAGCGAGGTTGCCAAGGGACAGATAGCTCCTCGTAAGTAGCCCAGTCGCTGAAGTGTGTCGCATGGTCTGATATGGTCCACTAAGACAGCAGTATTAAATGGATTCACACATATATACTACCATACGATTCACCACATCCAGAAGAGCTTCATCAGCTGCAAGACAAACATGATACTGAGTAGCTTTGACACTGAGGCTTGATACTCGGGCTTGAACAAAACATGACATCAGGAGATGAGTAAGAGTAAGAGTACACCAAGAGGGTGTGCTGTTTCCGGCCGCGCTGGTATGGTGGCCAAGCTGTACGCCTTAGCTAAGACTTCTTGTGATGCAGGGAAAGCCGGGAAAATGACCGTAAATGTGTGCACGGCCGACGTTACCGAGCGCAACGACTCATTAGCACTCGCTGTTTCGCCGCATCTTGGCTAGCCGTCCCGCTTTATTATCGTCTTGGAAGCGGCTACATTCGAGATGGCATGCAGATAGCTGGAAGTCTTTATCCATCCCGTGACCCAGAGTGCGTGGAGACAGAGGTGAGCCTAGAAGGAGGAGGATCGAATACAAAGTGGGTGTTTCCAATTCAGGGAGCTGTGACACGGTGCGACGTCCAAGGTGCTGGATGACCAAGTTTTTTTTTCCAGGTGATCAGCATCGGAGTGTATGGTAAGAGGCGCTGCTGGGGACGGAGGTTCGTGTATGTAACCATAGCAATGGATCGGCATGTCCGACAACGGTCGTCGAAACAGGCGTGCCGTTCTCTCCATGGGACGACCCGCTTTACCCCGCACAGGTCACGTGCAAGTGCCGAACTGTCGATTCTCGCCACAACGCTCTCTCAAAAATGCCAGCCCGCCAAGCTCATCTCATGCAGCCTTCGCGCAGCCACCCGCCTATTATTTCTCATCATTGGAAATGCCAACCATCGGCAAGGCTTCACCTGGTCAGCGGCCAAGCACCCCTCCGCCCAGATTCGCTGCCACAGTGTCGTCGATGGCTTGGAATAGCAGGTGTTGGGTGCATGGTGGAACGATTTTCGCCTCCAAGTATTTCCCCGCGGGGAAAGGTAGTAGCGCAGCTCGTGGTAGTCTCACGGTAGCGGACTTGGCCATGTTGCTTTCGAGACGAGGCCCACGGGCATAAAGCTGCCTCCAGTCCTTCTGCCCACAAAATTTCACAGTCAGGCGTGTTTAGCCATATCACTCCATTCATCTTTCCATCCAACAAGTTCACTGCCATCCAACATATGGGTTGCTTTAATACTCATGCCTCGGGGACCTTAGACCCACCAGAGGTCCGCAATTGGCGGATCCACACCATTGCCCTTATCGCGTCCATGTCGGCGCTAGCCAGTAACTATCTCTGGTCGTTCTTATTAGTGCTTGGAATACTGACACAGATACAGTGGGTTATGATACGGCCGTCATTGGCGGTACCATGGCTCTCAACTCGTTCATTCGAGACTTTGGCCTCGATGGTATTCCAAAAGCAAATCGTGATACCATTCAGGGAAACATCGTCTCTACCTTCCAGGCTGGCTGCTTCTTTGGTGCAATCTTCGCGTTTCCCTTTGCCGAGCGTATTGGGCGCAAAAAGACAATGATAATAGCTTCTTCCATCTTCCTGCTCGGCGGTACTCTCATGACTGCATCCCAGGGTAAACTGAACATGATCTATGGTGGCCGTGCTGTAGCCGGCCTAGGCATTGGCGCATCATCCATGGTAGGCATTGACTATTGTACATTATCTATACCGGGAAAACACTAATTTCCATAGGTGGTACCTGTATATATTTCCGAAACTGCTCCACCGTCGATCCGTGGCCGACTTGTCGGTATCTTTGAGATTGCGTCCCAAGGTGGCGGTATGCTTGGCTTCTGGATCAACTATGCTGCCGATCGAACCATCGATGTCAACTCCAAGACACAGTGGATCGTCCCACTTGCCATTCAGCTTGTTCCTGGCTTATTGCTCCTTCTCGGTGTCGCATGGTGCCCTGAATCGCCTCGTTACCTTGCCAAGAGGGACAACTTCGAAGGCGCTCAGCGCATTCTATGCAAGATTCGCTGTCTTGACGAATCCCATGCTTACATTCAACACGAGATGAGCGAGATCCGTGCTCAGGTTGAGGAGCGCAGTGCCAACCGCAAGAGCAAGAAGGATCAGTTTATGAAGCTCTTCCAAAAGGGTGTCCGAAACCGCATGGCGATTGGACTTGCCCTCATGTTCTTGCAATCTTTCACCGGCGTAAGTACATGTGCAGAACCCGACCAAGATGACATAATTTTGACATACTCAGGTAAACATCATTACCTACTACGCACCACGCATCTTCGAGACTCTCGGTATCTCAGGCACATCGCTTAAGCTCTTTTCTACCGGCTTCTACGGCATTGCAAAGACGCTTGGCATGTTCACCTTCACCTTTTGGGTCGTTGAGAAGGTTGGCCGCCGCAAGGGTTTGATCTGGGGTGCCGCTCTTGGTTGCATTCCAATGTGGTACATTGGTGGCTACGTAATGAAGGCAGATCCAGCTGGTGCTGCACTCAGGGGAGATGTCTCACGAAACGGCTGGGGCTACCTGGCCATGGTATGCGTATACATCAACGCATTTATCATTTGCGCTACATGGCAAGGTATTACCTGGACCTACGCATCCGAGATTTTCCCCTTGGATATTCGTATGCTCTGCGTCTCGCTTACCACTGCCGATACCTGGCTTGGTTCTTTCATCATCGCCCGAAGCACTCCCTACATGATCTCTGACCTAGGTTATGGCGCATATTTCTTCTTCGCCTCTATCCTTGTCGGCATGGGTATCTGGAGTTTCTTCTTCGTGCCCGAGACAAAGGGTATCAGTTTGGAGGAAATGGACGCGCTCTTCTTGCGTCCAATGCACAAGGCGGTATGGGCACAACTTCGTGGCAAGCCCATCCTTACCCAGGAGGAGGTTGTTGCGAGAAGCAAGGGATTAGACACGATGGGAGAAAAGGAGTATGGTATTGAAACAATAGAAACCGTCAAGAGGTAAGACCTGCGATCGGCGGCTCGAGGAGCGGGATCTTTGATATTTCAAAGCCCTCAAAATAACTCCTTGGTCGCCGAACGAGGTCGAAATACCTTTCATGACGGTATGATACCAATGAATAATTTTCCGACTTCAAAATTCACTGCCATTTCGTAGATGTTTTACTTGGTGAAGAACAGGCAGGTCAACGGTCCTTCTACTAAGCACTCTAGTTTCTCAGCCAGAAAAGCCTAGTTCAACGCCGTGCCTGACTGCGCTCTTGGCACGAATCCTCCTACCCCTTGGCATCCCGCCTCCCGCTGGCAAAGCGGCTGATAGTGGCTTGGGGTTCTGCCGGCATCATTAAAACTACCGATGGTATCGGAGATGCTGCCGAAGTCACAAGACCACGCTATCTCGCACAGCTAGCCGCGCCAAGCGATGTCGTGGAGGAAACTACGGAATGTTAGCCGATGTGTCAGCGTTTGCAAGTGATGATTCCCGTTGAAGCAGCGGGTGAGTCTTGGCTCTCGTACGATGAACAGCGGTACCGGATGACGCCAAGAATACAGCGGGCCTTTGTATGCTGTGTCTGTAAGTTTTTAATTCCATTTTAAAACTCATATACATGACTCACAAGCAATAATTATGGAGGTACTTGCAAATTTGATTCAGCCCGCACACTAGATCAAACATCGATGCATCGGCCGGAGTTTCCTTGATTGAACTTGTACAATGCGAGCAGCCAACTCGGACACAACTCCAGCAGAACGCCTAAAATACTTCCCAACCCATTACGGGTAAAGATGCCATCTGAAGTAACCGAAAGTATTTTCCCACTAAAGTAGACAAATTACGCAGCTCACCAATCGATTTTGACAGAAATAGCGCTAGATCAAAAGTACCGAAACCTAGTATTTCCTCACACTTCCCGCCCCTCTTCGATAGCTATCACTTAGCTTTCCAATGGCTTTGCGCCTGCAAGTTGACCAGCACCTGCAATTGTTACAGGGCTGAGCGGCTTATCCCCAGGACCGGTTCTAGTCGATTCAATCTTCCGGATTACGTCCATGCCGTCTAGGACCTCGCCAAAGACGACGTGTTTCCCGTCCAGGTGTGGTGTAGCAGCGGTCAAAATGAAGAATTGCGACCCGTTGCTGTTAGGTCTATAATACTCCAGTTAGCACATGTATCCGTTGCGAAGTACAGAAACCGACTTACCCGGAGTTCGCCATACTCAGCAGCCCAGGGTGGGTGTGCTTGAGTTGGAAGTTCTCATCGTCGAATGATTCGCTGCCGAAGATACTGGCGCTACCAGTGCCGTCACCTCCCATAAAATCGCCGCCTTGAATCATGAAATTGGGGATCTGGCTTGCTGTCAGCAAACGACTCGCGAATTTGTTATATAAACATGACCTACAACGCGGTGAAAAGTGCTGCCCACGTATCCTCCAACCTTGCACTCGCCAGTGCAAAACTGCCTAAAGTTCTCTGTCGTTGCAGGTACCACATCGAGGAATAGCTCCATTTGTACGCGTCCTACCGGCTGTCCTCCAATGGCGATGTCAAAGTATACTATCGGATTGTCTGGAGACCGTCGCGCTTTGGCTGTCGCACCCTCACCAGCTACAGGGATATTTATGTCGTGCTGTCCCGGTGTGTCTAACTGTACCGGACGCGCCATCTCTGTGGGCTTACTAGCATTCTTCTCTTTGCTACCTCCGCAACCCATTTTCGTTCTATTGTTTGTTTCGCGAGGTCAATCCGTGAAAGTTAGTTAATAGCAGAAACCTCAATCCACGGTAACAAGAACCAGCCAAATAAGGAAGAGATGGTGTGCGCAAGGAAGTTGGAGATTAGGGAACAAGAAACTGAGTAGTGACGATGACCTCATGCATCGAGCGCCACTGGTGTTGCTAGTCGCGTCCTAGACCGCGGAGACGACCGTGTCCTTGGGAACATGACCTCATCCATGGTATGTTTTGTTTTTCTGTTGACATCGGAAAATGAGCTGTGCGGGCTGAGACAATGCAATGTTGGACACAGCGTGTGTCACTTTTGTCTGCTTCTAAATCCTATCTTTCTTGCGCTTTTTCCTTGGCAGCTTTGATCTTGATTACTGACCCGAAGTATAGCAGTAAGGCTGCAGCAGAGGATTTCATGCAAACTCTAGTACTATCTGATCATCACTGACTGTGGGTAAATGGGGTTTCACTATTCCACGGAATTGCTCAAAATCCCACAACGCAAGCACGCCTAGATACACACAATAGTTTAATCAGAACAGCGCTAATCCATTACTAGCAATTAATCCAATGACTCAGTCTAACCTGATATCCATATATAAACAGTTTAGAATAGAGACAGGATAAGACGGGTTCCTGCGCAAGCGAATGCGGAAGTTCCGTCTCACCCGGCCAAGGCCGGCTTGATATCTAGCTACTGCCCAGGATCTCTTTGGCAACCCGCTCTCCACTCCGAATCGCGCCTTCCATGTATCCAACCCAATACTCGCTCGTTTCTGTGCCGGCAAAATAGATACCGCCAACACTCTCCCTCAGCGCCGGGCCGTACTTGGTCAAAATATGCGGTGGAACAAGGGCGACTGGTCCGCCTCTCGAAAACTCCTCCAAGTCCCAGCGTTGAAGCACGAATTCCGTAATGTCTCTCGCTTGCTCTCCGTAGTACTTCACACAGGTATCCATGATTTGCTTCTGGGCTTCTTCTGCGCTGAGTTTGTCAAGAGCTCGCATCTCGTCTCCAAAGATGAAGCCAAGGATTGCACCGAAAGAACTGTCTTCGGGAGTGCTATCAAAAGTCACTCGCACGGGGCCAGAGTTGGAAAGGACTTGTCCGCTCAAACCCTCTTTGCGCCAAAAGGGTGTCTTGTAGATTGGTACGCCTTTTCCGATCGCGGGCATTTTGGTATCGGAATTCAAATGCTGACGACTTTCGGGAAGCTCCGGCTGGAACTTGATCTGATGAACGAGTGGGGGTGACATGGCGAGTACCACCCTCTCTGCGTAGACCTTGCCGGCGCGTGACTCAATTTCATAACCAGAGTAGGTCCTAGTGATTTGGGTGACACCCGCGTTGAGAGCAATATACTCGGTGCCCACCTTTTTAGCCAGACGCTCCGGGATAAGACCTGTACCACCCACTACTCGCTTTTCTTGAGCTCCTCCCTTTGTAGCAGTCAATCTTTCCAAGTTTCCGACCGTCGTCTCGTTTCCGGCACCAGCGACATATGCCAGGAGATATAACAGCGAAATCTCATGTGGCTCCGCTGCAAAAATGGATTTGCAGAACGTGGCTAGTGCGAATTTAGCACCCGGCACAAGATTTAGTGTATCCAAATATTGATCAAAGGTTATGCTGTCCCACTCGGATGCTTTTGGGTGCGACCAAGGTGCTCCCGTATTTAGTTCAGCTGCCCAAGCGTCCAGCTGGGTCCTCGTGCTGGCAATCTGCATGAGTGCTGCTTCTTCAAGCGGCGGCGCACCACCAAGTTGGGGGTCCGGGTTGTAAGTTGACCTTATGCCGTTAAGGTACAGTACCGTCTCGCCCTCAATGTAGGTGTCGAATGTTTCCAGTCCAAGGTCGGCAATCATTTGAAGTACTTTGTCCTGAGTTGGACCCACGAATTCGGCACCGACTTCTGTGACACCGCCATTCTTCAACGGTTTATTGTAGACTTTACCGCCGACACGATCTCTCCCTTCTAATACAATCACGGATTTGCCGGCCTCGAGAAGATCGCGTGCTGCTGTTAGGCCTGCCAGGCCTGCACCGACAACAACGACATCGGCTGATTCAGGCACAGCTGCTGCGGGAACAGGAGCTGTGATGAAGGGTATGAGAGGAAGCATGGAGCTGTATCGTGATAGAGAAGAAGGCTTCGAAAGACCCATGATGAACGCAGTCAAGTAAGAGATAGAACGAATGTTTGGTACATCGTGCTGGATGACTTAACCTTGGAAACGACGGACTGCGGCTGAGAGCTAACAGGGGCTGATGCTCATCACCATTGCTGTTTCGGAAAGCTAAGAAGACTGGATCGAACTTTCGGGCTGCGACTAACGAAGCATTGCTAGCGTTGTCAAACGAAGCATTAGCGCTGTTAAAAGAATGACCGCAATTTTACCACACACACACACACCAGTCCATCTGGATACTTTTTGAAAGATACTTTGTATCCGCACTTGAAAATAGTGTCGCAGAATGTATGAGATGGCAGTATCACATTCATGATGCCCAACACGGAAATAATTGGTATAAACATAGACAGTCACTGTTGTGTTTCGTTTCTGGACTTCTAGAGGCGGAAACGCCATGATGTCCGACACGGAAAATGGACATAATTTATGGCAGATTATTTGTCTGATTTAGTGCGAGTGATAATCCCGCAACCAGATATCCTTATAGAGTCAATACACCCTTGTACAAAGTAGCAGGAGTATATTTTCACAACCAAGGGCAATCTCAGCAATTTGAGAAGGATTGGATCATGTCTATTGGTAGATTACAATACACATTCTATGCGCTCCAATACGCCTATCTGAGGACTAGTCAGGCGAATGATCGAGTATATGTGTTGCCACTTGGCCAAGTAGCACCCTTGATGGGAAAAACATACACATCTGCAACAATTATTGCTGCACTATGCATAGTCGGATCGGCTCTGTTCATTATATAGTGATAGATAAGAACCTGGAACAAAAAGACCACTACACCATCACCCTTGATATGTAAAGATTTAGTAGATGGCATAGAACAAACATCCCTTTTGTAATCCCGATAGGGCAGACATAAGTTCGATGAATTCGCCTATTCGGAGATTGTATGTCTTGGTAACGGCCATGTACTGGCGGCTGTTTCTCTGTACGTTTTTTTGGATTCTGAATCCAGAAGTTGAGTTGGAAGCTGCGGAGATTCGCTGTAAACGTGCTCTGGGGTTTGATAACAGTCTTTTTAAAATTCTTTTTTGCAAGTGTTAGAAATTTGCTACTATAGGGATCTGTGCTTTCGAATATGCGTACCTCCGTACAATAAGTATTCTCATCGCATTCCCCAAATTCGTCATATTCATCACCGTCAGGTGTTTGACATTCATCACACCATGCTCGCTTGCTGATCTCTGTTCTACATTCGCATAGCAACCATATATCTTCTGCCTCTCATAGCGGATGTTCCGGAACTCGCTTTTGCAGGCAGAGAGGGCACGTTTGGCTTGCGTCCACTCCGCACACGGTTCAGCTTGTACCAATGCTTCATGGTATTCGATGACCAGCTTGATGTGTTCGACAGGAATAATATCTTCTGCTGTAGGAGAACGTACGCCTAGGGAAGATTTCCCTGCTCAAGGAAGCGTTCGCGGCTTGGGATTGGCACGTGTGAGTGCCAGTCCCATTTCGATGAACCAAGTGCGAACGCTGATTTTAAGTGCTCTAATGCTGAGGTCCTTTAGATGACAACAATTTCTGTGTATGGTATACTGCACCTTCTCGCATACCATGGAGCATACGTAGGTTCTTATCGAAATAACAAATGCTCGGTTTATCAGTTTTTTATACACAAAACATCTGCTTATATATGTTGAGAGGCAAAACAGGAGCATGTTTGGACTAGTATATTCCAAATTAGCTGCAGAATTATACCCGTGTATGTTCTGCCGTATGTGAGAAGGCACAATATGGCCAATGTCCAACGTAGCTGGTTGTGCTTTTCCATGCCACTAGCGCCATATACTAGTCCGATGGATCATCGGAAAAGAATCCGCGCCAAAAGCGTGTTAGTGACTCACAGAACTAGCTTTGTAAGAGCATGACTATATGTACATGTATACATAGCTCAACACTTGTAAGAGAAGAAAAAAACATCTTCTGAATCTATACCATCTCTTTTGGCACCGAGAGGCTTCATCAGTTCTAGACATCTTTCCCATAAACATGGCCCAGCCAACGTCAGACACCAAGATCTTTGTAGCGGCAGATGAAGCGGAAAGGTTTGTGCGAGAGGTACTTATGGGAAATGGAGTTCCTAAAAATAACGCGGAGATTGTTGCACGCTGTCTGATTGCAGCAGATTTGCGCGGGGTTGACACACACGGGATGAATCGTATTCCTTCGTACCTCGAACGCGTCCGGCAAGGGGTCCTGGACGGCACGGCAACGCCCGAAGTCAATCAAGTTACGCCTGCAGTAGCTCAAGTTGATGGAAGAAATGGATGGGGCTTCGTTGCTGCAGACGTGGGCATGGCTGCCGCTATTGATTCTGCGAGAGTGAGGTGAACACCTCCCATTTTGTAAGATCAGCGCTAAGAAAATACATGTAGGTCTATGGTATTGGAATGGCCAGCGTCAAGCATTCTAATCATTTTGGAATGAGTGCATGGGTAGTTCAGAAAGCTTTGGATGCTGACATGATGAGTCTGGTCTTTACCAATTCCAGTCCTGCTTTGCCGGCATGGGGAGGAAAGTCCAAGCTACTAGGCGTGTCGCCGATAGCCTGCGGCGCGCCTGGAAATGAGACTCCATTTATTCTCGACATGGCACCGTCGATTGCGGCAAGAGGCAAGATCTATAAAGCTAAAAGGAGGGGGGAGCCGATTCCTTCGGATTGGGCCTTGGACAAGGACGGAAATGCGACGACGGATCCTGCCGCAGCTCTTGACGGGGGTGTTATGCTTCCAATGGGTGGTCCAAAAGGATCGGGTCTGGCCATTATGATGGACGTCTTTTCTGGGGTCTTGTCGGGATCCGCCTTTGCGGGAAATGTCACTGGTCCATACGATCCCTCTAAGCCATCTGACGTTGGCCATTTCTTGGTTGCGATTAAACCGGACCTCTTCATGAGCTTGCAAGAATTCAGAGATCGCATGCAATACCTATATGACAAGGTGGTTGGCGCAGACAAGGCGGCTGGAGTAGAGCGTATATACTTTCCTGGAGAACTAGAGCAGTTGCAGCAGAAAGAGCGCGAAACAACAGGTATTCCGTTAGTACAGGCTGAGATTGATGCACTGAATGGCGAAGCGTCAAGAGTTGGAGTCAGACCTCTGCAGGTCAAATCACCGTAATTTATTGTTCCCGTGAGTAGTCTGAGCTAATGGCATGTCTGTAGCCATTGAAGCCAAGTATCATGAGTTTGCCAACTTGGCCAATGCATCTCCCTCAACCCGTAATCCCACCCATTCGTTTTTCCTCTTCGCACCAATCACCTCACTCTGATAGAAATTGAGGCTGGGCTCATTCCAATCTAAACAACTCCATTCCAGCCTCTTGCCTCCAGCCTCGAGAACTAGTGCCGCGAGCTCTTTCAAAAGCCTCTTGCCATAGCCCTTTTTCCGATATGCTTCTTTCACGAACAAATCTTCAAGGTAAATTCCTGGAACACCAGTCCAGGTACTGAAATTGAAGAAGTAGACTGCCATTCCGGCTACGGTTCCATCTGGTTCAGTGATGAGGAGAGTACGAGCAAAGCCTTGGGAAAATGTAGAGGTGGAGGGGTCGTAGTGGGCGAGGGTGCGGCAAGGATTTCTTCGGTGGCTTCGACTTTTTCACTTGCATTTTCGTAATCTGCAAGTTCGCGGATGAGAGCCAGAATAGTGGGAATGTCTAGATGATGGTCATCAGTGTGGATTCGTTATATAGCCAGCAGGCCAAGTGTACCTTCACGATGTGCGTAGCGAAGTGATGCTTTGTCGGATGACATTGTGTATCCGGAGGATCTTGGAAGATGCTGCAAGTGTGTGGAGGAAAGGAACCCAGGTCATGGCTGGGCTTGTTGCCGCGAGCCTGTTACATAGGTACATACACGCCCTATTGCATACATGCGTGTTGCGTTGCGGGGCTCGCCTACGTCAATAGTGGGTAGTTGAGATGCCCCACACTCAGGGCAGCTTTTGTGGGCGCGTGGGCGCACGAGCCGCAGATGCAGCCGCAGCCGCAGCAGCGCGCTTTCTCTTCCACTCGTCTAACTCCTTGCGCAGGGGGTTGTTCTCTGGAAGGAACTCTGCGAAAAAGGGAAAACGCATATATTGACCATCGGCATTGCGTGGCTGCACATGGGTGGATTTGTCCAAGGCGTGTTGCTTTGGTGTGTGTGGAATGTGTCCTTTTGCATCCACACCAGCAAAGAGGTGTTGGTCCGTTGGCGCAGTGTAGAGCTTGGGCTTGATGGTCTTGTTGGGCTCGCCCCAGATGGCCCTCCAGCGCTTTGTTTCTTCGTGGTACTCGAGCTTGCAGCAGAGAGTGAGGATCTTGGTGTACAGGCGTCTCATGAACTTGGGGGTGATGGCGTGGGGTCGGTGCATGCCAGCAGGCCTATCTGCTCTACTGGGTTTGCTCAACGTCATGGCTTCATGTAGGGTGCTGGCAAAGAGGGCTTCTGGTGTAGCGACGCTATCAGGGCCAGCACCGGTGGGAAGTGAGTTTTTAGCCCTTGGTTTGACTAAGTCAATGGGCTTGTGACCGAGCATCATGGCATGCATCCTATCCCACTCGTGAGCAGGCAGGGGCGGTAGGATTCTCGTCATGGTTTCAGCATACCATCGTCGGACATTGTTACGCGCCCTCCTGATGGGCATGGGGCGGCCCCAGACATTGTGTATGGGTGTCTTGAGGAGCTGGCCCTTGAGCTCGCGGTGGATGGCGAGGCCCTTCTTGTGCTGCGACTTGATGAGGGCGCGGAGACGCGAGAAGCGATCTGAGATAGCGATTGAGCAGTGCGTCTTGGAGATGGGCACGGGGGCGGCGAACAGGCCCAGGCACCGCGAGGAACTGTAATAGAGCTGGTGGAGCGGGGCGGGGGGCACATCGGCAGCAGCGGTAGGGAGCGGGAGCTTGCCGCCGTCCATGATGGCATCGGGCCTGAGGAGGGGGGCCAACAGTGTGTGCTTGCGCCTGCCCACGCGGCCGTATGCAAGGAAAAGGACCTTTTGCAGACAGGCCATATCGCCCTGGTTGGCGCGGCGGAGAAGAGTCAGCCCTTTGCGCGCCTTGCGTAGCAACCGCGGGATGCGGGCGTGTGGGTGTGAAGGTGTGGCTGCATCTGTGGCTGGGATTGGAGCTGTGGCTGAAGCTGTGGCTCGGCTTGTGGCTGGAGATTTGTGGCTGGGCCGGTAGGCCTTGAAGCGGGTGACGATGTAGCGACCAAAATAGGTGCGGGCAGTGGCATCGGGCAGGTATGAGGCCTCGCGCAGCAGAGCACGCAGCATATGCAGCGGCTGGCGGGGTGCAGCCATGGAAGACGACGGCGACAACGACGGCGACAACGACGACGATGATGGAGAAGCCAAGGAATGCGACGGGGAGAAAAACGACGACCATCATGAGTGAGGATTGCGCTACCGCACGGGCACCCACAGCCGACAGACGCGTTGGACGCGCATCTCCGCTTCTCTCCACCACTTCCTCTTCCACCACTACCACTACACGCATCAACGGCACGGCACGACACGACACGACACGACGCCGACGCCGGCGCACCCCTCTGCCGCCCTGCGATGACATGATGCAAGTTATGTCCACTTCACATTCCTTCCCCGCCGCCTCGCCGTCGCACCAACAGTCGGCTCTGTATGCAAACTCGCCCCACGGCCACGCCCTCATGGCCGCCCCTGCTGCCTTGAACCGCTCCTTTTCCGACATGAGCGCCTTCCACCATCATGCAATGGACAAGCCTCAGATATATACCGTAGGCCCTCCTTTACTAGCCACATTCCCCCAGTCACCCTGCCATGCTGACCCCCCTCCCCCTCTTAAAGGCCGTCTACTCGGGCGTATCCGTCTACGAAATGGAGGTCAACCGTGTCGCCGTCATGCGCCGCCGCTCTGACGGCTGGCTCAATGCTACCCAGATCCTCAAGGTTGCCGGCGTCGATAAGGGAAAGCGCACAAAAGTATTAGAAAAGGAGATTCTTACCGGCGAACACGAAAAAGTCCAGGGCGGTTACGGAAAGTACCAAGGCACATGGATCAACTACCGCCGTGGACGCGAGTTTTGTCGCCAATACGGCGTCGAAGACGTCCTGCGCCCGCTTCTCGACTACGACATCACCCTCGACGGTAGCCATGCACCGGGCCACGCCATCGAAACCCCTACAAAGGAACAGGCCATGGCTGCCAACCGCAAACGCTTTTACACACAAAGCATCGATGGCCGCACCACTACCCAAAATCTCACAGGTACCTTTTTCAGCAACATTTCGTCGACGGCCACGAGTGCCCTTGCAGCAATGAACAAGGTTGCGCGACTCAACTCGCCTGCTCCCCGACCATCTTCTTCGTCTCAGAGGCGCACAAGCGCCACACGCCCATCGCAGTCGCAACCTCCTCTCGCCAGCCAAGATTCGTTTCGCGCAAGCAGCCAGCAGAGCATCACCTCGGAACCAAGCTTCACCGGACACAATGGCCAAACAGATTCCGCCTATGCCACCGCCGTCGATGAGTCACAGGAACCACCAAGGAAGCGCATTCGGGCCTCGCATGACGAATCCTATTCCCAACCTACCGCGGCAGACATGTCAATGCATCCTCTGAGCTCACCAACGGAGCCAAGTGAGAGCTTCGACCAGCACCACCCCGCACAGCCCATTACTCTTGCCAACGGCGATGTCCCCACCGCATTACCGCCATTACCGTATCCTGACACCAAGCAAGATGAAGAGAAGCAGGCCATGTTGACGGATTTGTTCGCAGATCAGACGAGGTCGGATTTCACGAACCATCCCGCCATATTACATCTCTCCGGCCCAGATCTCGATATGCCCATTGATAACTCCTCAAATACAGCCCTCCATTGGGCGGCGACACTGGCCCGCGTTTCGCTAATCCGGCTATTGGTATCCAAAGGTGCAAACATGTTTAGAGGAAATGCTTCCGGTCAGACTGCTTTGATGAGTGCCGTTTCGGTGAATAATAGCCTAGATCATAGCTGTTTCCCGGAAACCCTAGAAATCCTGGCCCCATTGATCGAGCTACGCGATTCCCAAGGACGAACAATATTACATCACATTGCGGTCACGTGTGCCATCAAGGGACGTGCAGCCTCGAGCAAGTATTACCTTGAGGCTCTCCTTGAGTATCTCGTCCGCAGCAATATTGGTGGTGGTCAACCACCCCAGTTTCATGATACCAGTAATCACTCTAAACCTATCGGCTTGATGAGGTTTATGCAGGAAATGGTAAATGCACGGGACAAAGCCGGCAACACGGCCTTGAACTTGGCAGCGCGGATAGGCAACCGCAACATCATCTCTCAGCTCATGGAAGTTCAGGCCGACCCCACCATTCCGAATCACAAAGGCACAAGGCCAATGGACTTTGGAGTAGGCAGCGACCTAGGCGACGGACAAGGGCTCATCACAGCGACCAGCCCCACAAAGGCCAAAGCGCCGCTGAGTAAAGCTGAGGAAACGAGCCGAGAGATACAACCTTGCAAGTACCCAACCTACCTGAACACGACTATATAGCTAACTTGATACCAGTAATGAGTGGCATCCTCCAGTCGGCGTCCCTGCAGTTTACGCAAGAAGCGCGTTTGAAGCAAGACGCTATTGATCAAACCAACGAGCTGATTACACAATTATCCAGTCAGCAGAAGCAAGAGCAACAAAAGCTACAAACACTTCGTGCCCGCTTACGCCAAAGACAAGATCGCGCCAAACGGATATCAAATCTCAAACGATGGCTGGAACCTCAACGACACATGCTTTCAGTCAACGATGGTGCCATTGATTTGCACGATAAGAAAAGAATCGGGTACGCTGATACCCAAGGTGCAGGATTGCTCATCAAAGAAGACGACCTTCCCTATGAACTCCGACAAGCAGGAGACCATCTGGATAGGCGTGCCTCTGACGGCCCAATCTATTTATCGACGTCAGTACCCTTGGATCCATCTACGCTCAGCCAAGTGTCGCATCAGCCCCAATGTCAAAACTTCCTTCTCCAACAACTACCAGCCGCCTCTGTTCTTCGGCAGCGGATCGAGACATACACTGCTACTAACACGGCGCTTCTCAAGCGTAGCAGAATGTTGAAGGAAAAGGATGGGCAGCTGGAGATGATGTATCGCAAAGTCGTCAGCTTGTGTACAAAGGTAGAAGAAAACCGAATCGAAGAGTGTCTCGAAGGGTTAGTAGCGGCATTGGACAGCGAAGAAGGAGAAGGTGTCGAAGTTGGCCGTGTAAGAGAGTTTTTGAGAAAAGTCGAGGGTGTCGACTAGGCGATCTCTCCCTAATCATCTTCCGATCACACCCGGATCCGAGATTTTGTCCCTGCTACATATCATTATTTCTGCTTATCTCTGTTTGTTTGGCACCGTAGTACATGGATAGGCTGGCGTTACTTCATGGATACCAGCCCGGCGAGGCTACTGGGTGGCTTATTCTTCTTGCAATATGACTGAAGCGTTAATTCAAAGGATGATACCCATCCCTATGCATTCTATCCGTGCGTCACGATGCAATAGTTAAGAGACCTGTTTAGCTGCCTGTTTTTTCCCAAGGGAGTCTTATTGAGCGGGTCCCGTATGGGGCGAAATATTCGCGACGGCACTGCTCAAACCTAGTCCACATTATCATGTCTTTCTCTCAACTACTATTATGATTCAGGCGCATCTCACGGACGGGGAAATTTAGAGTTCCTTGCTACGTCGGTACCACATGTGCAGTCACACTATCGTATTCTCCATGAATCGCATGGTGCGCAACTATGGTAATCTTGTTCTTTTTTTTGAGCTAATTTGCTACTCTAGCTACTTCAGTAGGTGACGGCAGCCGATGGGGCGTAATGCAGCTTTATTTCAACGCTTGTCGCAGTTATGACCATACAACTGCGGTCTGGCCTCCAGAATACGAATTGATATTTCGACGATGCCCACTCTTGCTGCTAAAAGTAGTGATAAGATTTGTCGCGTCACGAAGCTAGAATCCAAATGTCGATGAGCACAGAAGCTTTTTTGATACCCACACTTCTTCGTAACCTGTATCAGAAAGGTAGAAGATACTCGCCTCACGCCACATCTGTGAGTCGAACGTGCACTTGGGATCGGCTATGGCACATCTCCTTGTCGAGCTAAATGGCGCACATATTGACGCCATTGAGCCTTTTCCAATATTGATCGACGATGTCTGGTTGATAGATATGCAGGAATTCGAACCTTGGGGGGGGGGGCGCCAGGGCGTCCGCGCTTTGAGTAAGGTTGCTGTTAGCAGACTATCAGTAGCAGTTTATCTGTAGTGCCAAAGATTCGACTCTGCGAATGGAATAGTTGCAGCTTTCGAGAATCAAACTGAAGCTTTGTATGCTGATGGGTGCCTAACCAAACATGAACACACATGCAGTATGCTCTTGCTCTGTCCCCTTATTTCCGGAGGATACGGTTTACTGAGACGGGCGTCTAAAGCTTCCCCATTTGTTAACAATATTCTCGTCGTCAAACGGTTGATCTCAGTACCGCCAGAGAAATCGCACAAAGCTCACCCGTGGGGGATGGGAAAGCGTTATGATCAGAACACATACGAAGCATGTGGTTCGACAAAAGGATGTGGCAAAAGCAGCACCAACACCGCCTCCATTGCAACAAAATGTCATCGTGACAGCCATCACCGAAACGCTTAATACTCACCCATCGCTATGGCTGCTCAAAAGCCATAAGGTTTAGAGGATACAATGTTTTCACCGGTCAGACGGCGGTGAAACGGGGACCATCATATACTACTTTCCTAAAGTCGATCTCAGCAAAGTATATTTATTCTCAACGGGCTTCGTTCTTTGACAAACTTGCCACTTTCATCGGCATTTGCCCTTGTCCTCTCAATACTCCGACGGCATTTATTCACTCGGCGCCCTCCTACCCGTCTTTACCGCGCAATATTAGTAGCACCCTTACAACCCGTACCTTCCGTGTACATTATGTGAATCAAAGGTACCAATTCGAAAGCTCGCTGAGGCACCGCGGCTGGCGCGAACGATAGAGGTGGTGTTATTAGGGACTATTGTTGACTGCGGCGCTTTGAGCGGAAAGGGCGGGAGGATTAAGAGGCTCTTCAGAGATGGGCGGGACGGCTGGGTGGGCTTGCTGCTTCTGCCGCGATATGCCCTGCGTCTTGCAACGTGGGAAATCACCATACGTAAGCCGCATAGGCGGTTTTGGCAGTCAGCAATGCGCCAAGGTGCAGTGAGCGGTGTAAGCTTGAATCTTAAGTATAGAAGGGGACTATGATTAGCCAAGATCTTACAGCATGACCGGTGGAGATCACCGCGCACCGGTGGAGATCACCGCGCACCAGTGGAGATCACCGTGCACCAATGGAGCCGCTAGTAGGACTGCTGTTTGTGTGCTGATCATGTGCACACGAGTAGAGATTACGTTGCGTGTGCAGTCTGTGTCAAAACTGATCCAGGGTACTTTACGTATGTGCCCCGAGGTTGAAATGCTTAGCTGGGGGTGTATTTTACAGTTGAATTATCGTTACTCAGCACTTACTCGCGATGAAGTTGGGGCGTACGCTCATGGGATGCATGTATATGTGAACTCCTTTCTTCCAAGAGATTGGTGCTTCCATACAACGATCACTTCAAACACAGTTGTCAGAGGTTGTTTTGCTGTACACCCTTGGGATTGTGTATTCGAATGGGCTTCTCATCAAGAGAAGTATTATGAGGCGTAGTTCTTCTAGAATGCGTCTCAATAGTGTTGTCCAGGATCGGTGTTACCTTACACAGTAGAAAGTTATTCCCTTTGGCTGATTAAAGTACAGTCGTATCTGCAGCACAATTCTGCTCCAATCGGCGTTTCTTCAGTATTTTTTCTCAGCAAAATACCTCGCCGATGACTAGCTCCACACGGCGTTTCTTTCCGCGTTCTGCAGCAGCTTTGCGACCAGCCGAGTCAAGCGACTTGCCGAGCACTCCGGTGAGGCTACTGTGTAATAGTGTACACAGTAATACATTGGCCATGGAGGGCTGTACCCTATGGGGCGGTGAACACCTCCAGGGTCCAGTCCTTGCCCTCATGTCTGGTGAGATATACTTTCCGCGTTGTGCTTGTATCGTTGGTGTTCGCGACCAATGAGCGCTAAATGTCGTGTATACACCTAGCAGTTGAGCGTAGCGCCTTAGGCTTCGGTGTTTCAACGGCGGGACAGAGTAGCGAACCACGCTACCTGCCAACGACATGATGTAACTATCCAGGTGCGCAGGAGCTATTTCTCTAAGAATGCAGTAAGTAAGTATCCACTTCTTCTAGTTGCGCGTACGTCCAGGGTCCAAAATCGAACTAAGAAAACGCAGGGCTATGCGCTACCCCCTGTGCTTCACGTATGCCATGGTGCTGCGTGGAATCAGCGTCCACCCCTGGTCGAGCATGAGGAAGCCTCATACTACTGCCTAGATCGCAACTAAGAAACGTAAATGCTGTCAATGTTTCTAAAATCTCATCTCCGAATATCGGGATTGTTAAGTATGTCGAGGGTTTCCTTGAGAACCCCACTCATTTGACGCTGGGCTGCATGAACCGCAAGTACCGGGATATTGGATGTAGCGATGAGGGGGGACTGGGGGATGGGGGGGACGGGGGTGGGGGAAGGGGGATTAGCTCCGGAAAGGATTCCAGCCCATTCTTCCATGAGAAGATAGCGATAATCATGGATGGAGGTTGCGATAGCGTGCCAAGGCCATATTGCTAACATACTTGATCGCCCGTAGATTTCGTGATGCGTACGAGATACTTTACGTACACTAAGATTTAATTTCGGATGTGATGGCGAAGTAGGATCCAAAACCGAACAACGCATCCAAAATGGGTCTTCTATCACTTCGAACTATAAGCGGAATACTTGTTGACTACTCGGTTTCTAAACCTAGTATACGTGCATTTTCATCACGTGTAATGTTGAGTTCCTACATTGGATCGTTCTCGGTTATCTGCTGATACCTCGGGACGTGCCCTACTACGTAGATCAATTACTAAAACCAAAGCTAAAATTTGTAATTCATATGAAGCTATCCTTGATTGAAAGACGCAAAGTCGAGGCCCTCGGGCATCGCTACTAACAAATTCATCCTTGGTGTGACGCGTGGTGATATGTTTAAGGGGGTTTTGCTCGGGTATTCTATAGCGCCGGTTGAATCCGCTGGCCGGAGCGCCGAATTGCCGAAACAGGTTAAATGCGGGTATAGCGCCGGACAGATTGTGTGTGTGGTCGGCCGACCTGCTTCCTATGTACAAGTACCGTTGCATACATAGTATATCTACATAGCAGCCCGGCCCTACTAACTACGGCCCGAATCAACGTCGTGGCATTCACGATGCCGCTCGCTAAAGTCTATGCTGCTGCACTTGTGCGACTTACATGGCTTGTTTCATGGATACCCATACTTTATCGCATATTAAGTTCAACCAACAAGTGCTAGGTGCATATCCTGTGAACATATTACATCTAAACTCTTTATATCTCCCTCTCCATTCGTGCAGTACATAAGAGCACTGGACTTCCACAAGCATTCTATTCTTGAGTTTGTCATCTTTGGCAAGCGACTGTTTCTGGCGATATGGGCAAAGCTTTCACCTTCATCATTGACCACACGGCTCGAGCTGATCTTGGGTCTAAGCGAAAGCTCAGGCGCCGTCGGGGAGCATGTGGTAACTGCAAACGCAGAAAAGTGGCATGTAAGTATCGCACTGAGTCAGGGACACTATGATAGGAATAACTAAGCAGCACTAGGCAATGGATCAATACCATGCCAGCATTGTCATGTATGGTCAACTGGATAAACGTAGTTGTATTCATATTGCCAGATAATGCTAACAAATGCTTCAGAAAGCATCTATCAGCTGCCAGTACGCTGAAAGCAAACGCTCCACCCGAAACACAGCCCCAATCAGCGAGGCCGATACCACAATCCGGCAAATAATAACCCCAGACGTCAGCACTTCATCAAGTCCACAGGATCTTGAAAACACGGATCTCTTTTCAGACAATTTCACGAACATCTTGACTCCCGATTTCTATTGCGATGAATTAGTCCATGTGTCCGTCTCGGATGATCCTATGGATCTGTTCCACTGGAATCAATTAGGCGAAGGCTTTGATGGACCGATTCCCGGACAGATTCCTGGACCCTCTTCCTGCTGCGAACAGCTGGAAAACGCCAGAAATTACGATAATACCAGCAGTACTGGCTTAGATTCAGATTATTACTCTCAAGATGATACACAATACTATTATAGTATGAACGACCTATCAAGAGACCAGACATTGTCAACCTCAATCACCGATACCGGTATGAGCAAGCGCTAGAGCTGACTCAATTCAAATCTACTTACGACTCTGACTGAATTGTGACAGAGGAATCACCACATCACGATCATGTTCGCTCGTCTCTTCACTCTTGGCTACTGACAAGTATGGGAAATTTCAATAGCGAAAAGAACAGACACGTCGTAGAAGTATCACAAAAGCTTCTGACGGCGAATTCATCAATGACTGAGTATTGTTCCGCTAGAGAAATGGACATGGTGGCGGCGCTCACCGATGTACGATCTGAGCGCTCTTTCAACAAAGAATTCTTTCACAAACGCATAAATGGTAACTTCTTATCCAATCCGTACGAAACAACATATGATGCTAACACGAATACAAATAGCCTGCTTTACAGAACTACATGAGTATGTTACACTACTAAACTGATCAAGATTCAGTTGAAAAATATTAGTGTGCTGGTAATCTAATGAATCGTTGAACAGAATTGAAATGTGCCTGGATTCTAAAGCTATAGAGGCGCTAGTGGAACAGATCATCTCAAACCCTTTCGTCAGCAGTCCGACCAGTATTGCTTTATTCTTCTCTTTGTTGGCTATTGGCTCTCGTCGTCTGGACCTCAGTCATGGTAACGGTACAATCAAAGGAGCGACAATAGGCTACTTCAGGATAGCTCTACGCCTAAGACCTTACCTGTATGATGAGGTCAACCTCTTGAAATCACAGGTAAGCGGGAAAATATATTGATACTAGTTGTCAAGCATTCGCTGATGCAGAACCTGTAATCTAACAGGCCTTACTTCTCATGGTCAGTACAAGATGCCCATTTCTTAAATGGTATGAATATCGACCATAAAGAACTAACGATGAGCAACAGACCTACTTCTCATATGCTGTTGGTGCCAGTTCTACATCTAGTTTAATGGCGGACACTACTTCGTGCCTCCAAATCCTTCGCCTTCATAGCTCCAGTGCGGTCAACAAATTAACTAGTGACTGCTTAGAGCAAACAAATATCAAGAGAGCTTTCTGGGCCATTTACTCCATGGAAAAGCCTTACTCATTACAAGAAGGACTCTTGCCAGTAAGTAGTGCGTCATGGGACAAGGTACCTCATAGAATCGTCCTTGGGACGGACGACTCGCTGATGGCAACGACCGCTAATGCTGTGCTTTCTAGCTCATACCTGGTGAATATGCGGACCACAAGATTTCTCCAACCCAGACATCCTCGGATAGAGGCACCGACTGGCTAAGTGTAAATGTCCGGTACGCACAGGTTTGCTCGGGTATTCTACGGCAACTCCACAGCCAACGACATGACAGCCGAGACTGCTCAATCTGTTGTGGAAGAGGTTACTGCGAAAAAAGCCCTGCCTCCACACTATGTCGGCTTGAAGACAGTCTCATGATGTGGAAAACTGACTCTTCACTCAATTTCAGCGTCGATAACTTGTCGGCACTTCCATGTGCTGAGAGGCGCCACAGGCTAGCCTATATCACCAGATTTCATTTTGCCACAATTGCGATCTATTCACTTCCGGAGATAGAGGCGACAGGCATGAGCAAAGAAAGGCAATGCGAATCAGCACGTCAAATACTCAACTTGAGCTCACACATATCCTGGTCTGATCTGTGTGATAACTGGTTCGTACTTATTTCTTCGCGTTTGGTCTTTTTGAGTATCAAGATCATTGACTAAAATTTCTTGTTCTAGGGAACTTTGCTCGGCTATATCGTTGGCGACTTGCATAATCGCAACAGGAATCATCCAAAAAGCCTCAATCGCAGAGGCAGAAAGAAGCACAGCAGTCACCGGTAGCATTTCAACCTATACGTATTCTCACAAGACCAGTTTTGAAACAGATATACCGTATATCGGTATAGCAATCGGCTTCTTCAGTCGAATATCTCTAAGCACAACTCATGATTTTGGAGCCGCAGCTATGGAATTATGTAGTTTTGCTCTTAGCTTGGCAAGGTGTTAGCGTGAACCCGCTGGAAGGGTTCCGTTTTTGTCACCCCACCTGTACTAGTAGACATGAAATAAGAAATTATATATATGATCACATATCCAAACCAGCAAGCCACTTCTTGACTGTAATGTAAGTGTTCTCCAAAAGGCCCTTCTCCAACATAGATACGTTCAGCGACCCTGTGAAGAACGTTTTTGTGGAGATAAATATTCACAAATATTACCCAGGGATGCGTCACACTACCCGAATTCTGACTCTGTAATTACTGCGTACACATCTGGAGTAGCAATACATGATAACAGGATATCCACTACAATTACTACGTATACACTTAAAAGCAATATAGTCTAATAACTCCTTTGATTAACACTGTCCCAAGCTACACTAACTGGAGACTAATAGGGTTGATATATATGGAGAGAGCACATCAAGGACCAAAGCAGTAGCAGTTCGAGAATGCGCAGGGTGCTATGAAAGCTTGAAGTAGGAGCCCATCTAGGCCTAGATCAGGAGGATTGTAGCAGGTCAAGCAATTCATCAAGCTTCATGGCGGCAGAAAGCATCAGCATTGTTAACTCACCAGGAAGCCCTAGCAAGAGCATGCCGAAGAAGTATCTATTGATGCATGCCGAGATCTCCCTACTTACTGAGTCGGACAAGGACTCTTAAGAGGCCCATCCAGATGTAGACTAGAAAGATTAAGTGGCCCGAAAATCCCTCCGCTGATATGCGGCAAAAAATACCGTGAGCTTCCACTATTTCACATAGGTCCCTACATTGCACGCGGAACGCCCGGAGCCGCAGAAAGTCCGGACTCACGGACCATCCGCTGGAGTCGCGGAACGCCCGGAGCATGTATACCCCAAGGGTTCGTAGGTATAGTGGTCACCAGGGAATATTCCGCAGCTCTAACATCCAATCAAATATTTCACAAACAGCTTTGACTGGACGTACGAGCATTCCTCGGTGCCGAGGTACATCGGTACGTATTTTGGTACCTACGCTTGAGTCAGTGGGCCCAAGGCAAAGGTGGTCATTGAGGAGCTACGGTAGGAAAATCGGGCCCATTACTCGTTACCGTCTCTACATACCTTGTTCGGATTAGCGTTAGATCGACGCTCTGTTATATATGAACAGTCATCAGTACTGTAGTAGCATTTCACCTCACATCCATAGAATGAGAATGGCTGGCTTACGCGGACAATGGCTTGAGTGTGCCAGAGGTTGTATCTCATAAGGAACTCACTATCTTTCCGTACTGCTGTTGGTTTGATAATCAAACAGCGAGTTGCGCAAGAATAGCTAACCGTAAGGCCTAAATCTTATTTGGATAAATGCAACTGCAACGCTTTAGGCATCTACTCAAGTCTTCAATGTTGAATAATATCATTTACAAGAGCCTACGAGAGAATACTCATTCCATGACTATACTCTAGAAAAACTCTAGACTTAAGGGTCAGCAGCAAATTTCCTGGTTATCAACAGCGCACGTTTCGATTGTTCGCCACGCATGTGGTTTAGAAATAACTTCCTTACAAGACGTACAATAGAGGTTTTTTCTTCTTCTGAATCGCTGCAGCATACAATTGTGAAGACGAATGATAATTATCGCAAGTTGGTGTAAGCACTTGTGCTGACAAAACTGCTCGTGTATCGTCCTGTGCCGTACCGTGCTGTCCCATTTGGGCCTCCTGTCATCGACTAAAACCGTACCTCAGAGTATCCAGTGGTTTGAATCCTCAGAAACAATCGAAATAGTATCAGCAACTGATCTTGACTTGAATAATTTGAATAAAAATATGCACCTCGTAGGTATATTGTTCCAACATTGCAATAAGTTGCACATGGTCAACAGCTAAACCTTCGCGACTAGGGTCGTTACAAGGGTTTTGTTTCATTACCAAGTCGCTTCGCTTTTCTCTAAGTCATGAAAGGCAACATTTCATAAAAGAGGTATAATAGAATGTCTCAAATCCTTCACAGTCAAGTCTGCTGAGCCACTGTAGATGATTAGCTTGCATAAAAAACCTTATCCATCAAACTGTCCCTTACCTAGGTACACATTCATGCTAACCAGTCGTCTTATGCTAAGAAGTGAAACCAAGGCTTGTTATGTTTTGGATCGCATAGGGCTGAATGCTTGTATAATACCATAGGCTTGAATATAAATACACCCGCTTCGACCACCTACCTTCTAATTTATTCCTCATTCTCATCCATCGCACAGTACATCTCCCATTCTAAGATCATTGAAAACCCTCTATTTCTAGTTTCTTCCCGCATAATCTTACAAGACAATGAAGTGCGTCCCCATCATCGTGACAGCGCTTGCTTCCCCTGTATCTGCGCGCTCGGTCAAACGGATCACATGTGCTACCATATGTCTACCCGAAAAATCTTGCCGTGTTGGATCAGTCCGTTTTCCACTTATTTTTTGCTTTCCTGCTTACTTCATACTCGCTGTACTGTACATGTAGGCTGACGTAGTCACAGGTACCAACGAGCATGAACGTGAGTATAACACTCAGTGTAGGGAGAATGAATACGATGTTGAGACGAAGACCCTACAAAGGGAGTAGCAAAATATATATGAAAGAGAGAGGGTATCGATACAGACCAAAGCCTTCAAACCAGCTAACTTCTATACAGGAGAGCTGCACAACGTGCTGCCATAATTAATGTGCTGCCACGATACATCATGACATGGCGTTAGCGACACCTACTCTATCTGTACAAATATTTACACGCATTCCCGGGCGAAATGAGCGCTAAGCACACCTGTAAGAGCTGCCTTGGGTCGAGGACAAGAAACTAAAGCTAGGTCATAGAACGTAATAGTAACTTAGGTTGTTCATGGCTGAGCAGCAAGCGGAATACTTTAAAGACGGCAAGGAGATGTGGCTAGAGCTTTTTCAACCACATGACTAGAAGAAATTTGAATAAAGCTCAAGTTTACCAACGCAAAATTCTCACGCGAACGTATCACTTTAGGTTCGACCGTTCGAATTTAGACTATGAGTTCCTTCTCTAGTCATGCTATAGTACTCCTTGATACTTTGATTTCCTTGTCGTTTATAGGTATTTGTCTTACCAACATAAATTCAAAATTTCCGACTAAAGACGCTAACAAGATAGCAAGCTCTGCCTTGACGAAAGAGTTACTAATGTAACTTCTTAGCCCATGTGAAAAGGTCACAACTGCGAAGATGATTTGATGGTGGGTCCTCTTCTTGGTCGTTTCATTTTGTAGCCCATCGCTCTTGGAATCTTTATAAGGAGCGATAAGGGTAGAGATATTCCTAATCCCAGTTTTTTCTCGAGAAATCCAAAGATTAAGCTTGAATATGTGGGCATCGGAGTCCCATAGAGTACTGCTGCAATTGGTGACACGTGGGACGAGCACGACTGAAGCCTTAGCAGGTACAGGTGTATGAAGGATACAAGGGTCTTTAATAGCCTCCCTGGAGGTAACAGGAACAATAGAGAAGTAGCGAAATACCTCGAGACAAGCCGCATTGAAGTACGGCATCTTAAAGTCTACTGTAGTACTAAGGTCTCTCAGGATGCTATCAGTTGACGGCGGATGTCTGGGTAGGCGAGACCAGGCTTCATCACAGAGCTTGTTTTGAATATCTGGATATACACAAATAAGTAGATAGCCCAGGTCAGAGTTGTGGCGGTGGTCTCACGACCTGTTGCTAGGAAATTCATGAGTTGATCCATAAATCACTCGTCTGTGCAGGCTCCAGAAGCGGCAGCCACAATTGGCATTTATCATGATGAATATTAACATGAAAATTCCTTCCATGATCCTTCTTGCGCGACGTTACCTCTCGAATCATCCGTTAACACGATGAACAAACAAGTTGTATCGCGAGATTTACTTGAGTGTTTCTTTCTAAAAGAAGACGATTTAGAAGCCGGTCTAGAAACACAAGTCAGAGAATTTCGATAAAAGTAGCTTCTTTAGAGGATTGAATAAGGAGGCTGTATGCTTGGCAAAGGTTGTTGCTGGGGTTACAGATGGCTCCGAAATCCTAACCCATACATGCAACGCCTATGACATCGAGTGTGGCTCGACTGGCTGATCTACGATGTTAATAGTGGTCATCCTGTCGTTAATTTTAGCTTGATGTCTACCTGCAGGAAAAGCTAAGACGTCAAGCCTAGTTGGCGCTTCGTACCGAAGTTGTTTGCTCATAACATCTATTAGACATTCTGCGACATGCCCCATGACAGGGTAACAGCTCGTTGATATGCTGAATGGGAAATTCTGACAGCAGCGCCTTCCGCTGCATTCTGTGATCACTACCCTCTGCTAACAAAATTCCCCTACCAAGGATCTGCTCCATTAATGTTACAACAAAGGGCGGTTTTCAAAACTCGTATCTCTTAGTCACGAGAACATCAACGAAAGTCTCTGGATAGATAACAGGAAGTCTTTCGAAACGCAGTAGAGACTGACAGCCTACTAAATCTTCTGGCACATCTTTGAGCCTATTCACCCTACGGTGTACATACGTAAGCTTAGTCAATATGCGACAACCAAAGCTAAATAAACATACCATTTACAGTGGAACACCTCCGGGCTCGGTGTACAGTCTTGAGGTTTCTGCGTTAAACCAACCACTTTCCGGTACTTTAGCAAATGTCTCAGCGGCGAGAAAAAAAGTGGGCACAAGAAATCCCCTCCAAAGATAGCATAGTGAACTAAGGCTTAACACATAGCTAAAGCATCTTCTCAAGCTTACGATATCTCATAGGCATAAGATCATGGCTCAAGATATTAGAAGAATGAATAGAGCTGCAGGACTCGTCATGGTGTATGCACCTTCATGATGGACGTGGGTGTCGACAACATTTTGTTCTCGGATGATTCTCATGTGACCTCGGATACCAAATCAAGCTACGCATGTGGCTGCCGGATACTTGTATCTACTACACCGAGAGTCCGAGCGTCAATATGATCCGGTAGGTGGCTATACAAGAGAACGGACTTGCAATGAACCGTAGTCTGAAATTTAGAATTTTCCCAGGTTTGAGACTCACTGATATCACCCTGTAGTAGTAGCCAACTCCTGTCGACTCTAGA